TGCAAGCACTTGGTGTCACCAACTGGAAAGAGAAGGCCAAACAGAGAGATGAATGGAGGCGGGTGATATCTGCAGCAATGAACCTCAAGGGCTCGGAATGCTGAAGAAGAAGGCCAACCAGAGAGATGAGTGGAGGCGGGTGATATCTGCAGCAATGAACCTCAAGGGCTCGGAATGCTGAAGAAAAAGGCCAACAAGAGAGATAATTGGAGGCGGGTGATATCTGCAGCAATGAACCTCAAGGGCTCGGAATGCTGAAGAAGAAGGCCAACAAGAGAGATGAGTGGAGGCGGGTGATATCTGCAGCAATGAACCTCAAGGGCTCGGAATGTTGAAGAAGGCCAACAAGAAAGATGAATGGAGGCTGGTGATATCTGTAGCAATGAACCTCAAGGGCTCAGAATGCTGAAGAAGAAGGCCAACAAGAGAGATGAATGGAGGCTGGTGATATCTGCAGCAATGAACCTCAAGGGCTCGGAATGTTAAAGAAGAAGGCCAACGAGAGAGATGAGTGGAGGCGGGTGATATCTGCAGCAATGAACCTCAAGGGCTCGGAATGCTGAAGAAGAAGGCCAACAAGAGAGATGAATGGAGGCGGGTGATATCTGCAGCAATGAACCTCAAGGGCTCGGAATGCTGAAGAAAAAGAAGGCCAACAAGAGAGATGAATTGAGGCGGGTGATATTAGCAGCAATGAACCTCAAGGGCTCGGAATGTTGAAGAAGAAGGCCAACAAGAGAGATGAATGGAAGCTGGTGATATCTGCAGCAATGAACCTCAAGGGCTCAGAATGTTGAAGAAGAAGGCCAACAAGAGAGATGAGTGGAGGCGGGTGATATTTGTAATGAACCTCAAGGGTTCGGAATGCTGAAGAAGAAGAAGAATGTCCTGGAAAACAAAAATGGCTCATGTGATGTTGACCACATCACTGATCAAGTGACAATTCAGTCAGTCAGCAAGTCCTTTACAGCCAGTTCTCCAGCCCTATGTGCTTTCATAGCTAATATATCTTCTTTATCCTATATCCAACCTATGCTGAAGTTGACCTCTACATCATTTTCTGGAAACCGCACCTTCCATCTGAGTTCACCCCAGACCAACATGGCGCATGACAGGTCCAGAATACCCATCTTTCAGGAGAGGATGCTGTTTACGAGCCACTTCACCTTGACATTCAGGTTCTGCAGAATACTGCTGTTTTTCCTCTTCGTGGTCCCCAGTATTCTAAAAAATTGTCCTTAGCATTTAAGTTCAAAAGCTCTCATCTTCTTCTTCAGAGACTGAGTGAGACTCCATGACATCTGTGAATTGCCACAAAAGTGATAATCGGTCTATACACACAAAAGTAATAATCGGTCTATAAAACATGGATCTATCACTGTAAGCCTAATGCACCAAAAGCATGAAACAGCTCCTTTACTACTAGCATTATGAATGCAGGCAGGATTTCATTGACCTGGAAAGAGAAATTTAGCCAATGGGTGGACATTTTTGGTCTGCAACGTCAGACGGCCCAAGTTATAATCTTTGGTAAGACAAGGGAATTTTTATCTGTCAGGTGTGAAATAAAAAAAAATCTTAAATGTGACTGCTTTAATAAATGGCCTCTATTTGTACAACACTTAATAAAAGCCTCTCTTTAGTGTTTTTTTATAAGCAGTAGTTCTGAGTTTGGCTTCTCCCCCTCTCTTGTACATTCCTGTATAGACCTTAAACATACATAAATTACATAATCAAACAGATCTTTTATTGAAAATTTATTTGTTTGGACATTGTGCTGTGTTGTTTCTGTTCACAACAGAGTTGCAAATAATAAAAAGTTTGTCAAGAACAGCTGTTGATAATCAAATTGTGACATTTTCTCTTGGATTTAGGAGCAAAGTCTCACAAGTTTCATGTCATGTTGCCGTGTCGCCCATTTTCTGGTTTTCACATTCACCAGCTGTAAACTCTGGTTTAAAGTTCTGGTTGTCTGTCCACTTCTGAAGCCTGGTTATATCCCAGGACCTGTTTCTAAGATAAGTATAGAGAAATGTGGAAAGGTCTTGACTGATGAGAGCCTGGTCCTGATACTACCACATGCATCACTAGTTCATTTTGAAAACATATTTTGATTGTTCATGCCTTATTTAGCTTAAGTTCTTGGAGGACAATATGGGGACATTTTTTAAGCATGTCATAATCTGTTGTAGATCTGACATTAAAACCATTTTTTTTTTTTTTTGTAAATTGAAAATGAAACATGAAACCTAAATTTTGTAAGAATACAAACAAGTGAAAAATATCACAAAATTTTAGTTCTAAATCTGTTCTTATTGTATAGGTCACAGTTTAATACTTTTTCAAAGTTCATAGAGTTGTCCCTAGTTTTTCCGCTTTTGGACTTTGGTCTTGTTCCTGAAATTGAGTTTTGCCTGTACATCCATTTTACTGATGTCTTTTTGTATGTGCAGACTGTTAGTACCTCCACTCTCAGGCAGATGCACTTTGACTTTAAAGAAAACACCCCTAATTAGACTTTTCCAACATGCATGTTGGGGGGGTTGATGTCCCCCCCCCCCACACACACACACAATGGGGCCCTGGAGCCTACACCAGGAAAATATGTGTAGGAAAACAGTGTTTCACAAGCAAGAATGTTTCCAGGCATTAGTATCTTATACACTCACATGTTAACCGGGTGGACAGAGAAAGCATTATTTCTATTGGCAATGATGATTATACATTTAGCTAGTTTTTGTTAATTATAAATTACATGTATTACTCATAATTTGTTATGTGATTCATTTTGGTTCTCTGTTTATCTACTCTGATTTACAATGAAACACTTATTTTTGGGTAATATGTATATTCTCTCTTTATGTCTGATTTGCAATGAAAATTTTTTGGGTATGTATAATCTACTCAGGTGAAAAATAATAAATATTATTTTTTTTTTTTTACATTATGCCTCTGTTGTACCTTTATACAAGGTTGTAAAACGTGGACCTTAACATCCATTCTTGAAAAAAAAAAACATCTAACCAGCGGAAGTGAGATCTTTTCTAAAGATCTTGGATACATCATATACAGACCACATCACAAATGATGAAGTTTGCTGTATCATCACTCAACATCCTTTAGAGTGTATCTGCCTAAGAGGCGAGGAACCAACAGTCTGCATACAAGTAAGCCAGATCTGTAAAATTTATGCCCACACAAAACTCAAGTTCTGGAAAAAGACCAAAGTCAAGAAGCTGATGAAAAACCAGAACTTTTCAATGGAGTTTACAGCCAGTGAACGCTGAGAAGAAATAGAAGATCACTCAACACACTCGCAGTTAGGAACCTCTTTTAACTCCTTTAACTACAGTCAAAAGAAGGAAAATGCAGAGGAACAAACAGGTAACAGGATCTACTGGCCTCTCTAAAACAATACTAGATGGCTGTGTAGAGTGAAAGAGGAGAACTGGCAGAGCAAGAAAAACCTGTATGCAGAACTGAATGGACAAGCCTCAAACACGCAATCCTCAAGTTCAAATGGACAGGTGGAGGGAGCTGACCAGTACAGCAACTGGTGGCTCAAAGACATCCAGTGTTGTGGGACTCCAGAGATGTCTCTGTTAGTCAGCTTGTCTTTCTTAGAGCATGTGTGCAGTGAGTCACGCTTCACATACAAACTGAAATGATCAATAATAAACATCTGCAGAAGTGAATCATTCTTTCTAAGTCTAATAATGATATGCCCATGGAATACTTTTTTTTTTACCCCTCACATTTTTCAGTGCAAAATCTAGCTTTTTCTCTTCACATTTACTTAGTTCCTTTTATAGCTGCAACATTATCTATGCTTCTTTTTTATCAAGTGAAACATGCCAAATACAATCTGTCTGTTTCTGTATCTCTGTGCACACGTGTGTGTTGAGTTGAGTTGATTCAAGAACTGACATCACAGCACTCAAGGCATTTCCAAAAGCGCTCCATCCCCATCTTCAGCAGCCAGTGCAAAGTTCCGATACTAATGGTGCCAGTAGCATCCTGATTAAATGTCTGTCTTGACCTTCCTCTGAGCCTCGAGCATCTGCCAGAACCTCTCATCACCCCACACCCCCCCCCCCCGCACCAATCTCACCAGACTGATGATCCATCTGCTCCTCTGAACTGTACACGCTCTCCCACAAGGCACTAACCACCTCTGCCTTATCATGCATCAGTATTCCACCAAGTTGTGCAGAGCCAGCCAGTCTGTCCGCCTGTTCATTTCCCAACACACTGGCCAATACATACTGGAGAAAAAATCCAGTCAATACTCCTCACCCGCGTCCTCCACAGTGAAGCATGCCACTCTGCATGAAGCATGCCTGTCCTGACCTTCCTCAGCCTGCTTTCTGAGTCAGTTATGTGTGTGTGTGTCAGGGTAGGAAACAAAGTGAAAGAGAAAATATACAACTTCAAAGTTTTTATTAACTTAAAGAAAAAAACAAAGTTGCTACATTTTATCGACTCAATCAGTTAGGTGCTGTCTCTACAAAGAAAACTGGCTGCAATGGATCGCTAGCATTCTGCCTCTGACAAGGCTAATTTTTAAAAACTAATCCTGGATCTCAGGTTGATTTACCTAAAAACTGCTACCAGGAAATATCATGAGAAGTAAAGATTGCCACCAGTGTGATACTGACCTCATCCTTTTATGTTTGTTCCTCTATGTATAAAAATATCAGGTGAGTATAATATGCATAATGAACCCCAAGACATGAAAAGGGACCTTTATTGTCACTTAGAATGTGAACAAGGTATTGTTTCAAAAAAAATGGTATGGGTCTGTATTTATAACCGTTTTAGAGAGAGGGTCTTGAGTCTGAAAGTTCAGGGCTGCAGCATATCTGGTGCAGTCACAAGTTAGGGTCCCCCCCCCCCCCCCAAGATAAACAACCCCTTACTGCGGATTTGACCTTAGGTTTTCTGCTTGATAGCCTAGCTTATAGTCACTCGACCAGCCACTCCTCTAATAAGGAATACTATTAACTTTCCTTATGCAAAACAAGGATACAAGCATGTGTTTCACCAAGTTTCACATAATGACTTGATACAAAGGTCAGCCCTACTAAACTTTCAGTAGCTTTATCATGTTCAAAATGTGTGTCGGGATCCTTTGATCGTCCTTGTGAAGATGCTTCTGATGTGGGGCATGGTGCAGGCTGCTGGGTTCCCTCTGTTCCTTGAATTATGGACAGGACAACATGCTGAAGCTGCTCACTGACAAGCAAGACACAGGAACCTTGTGGTCTCAGGACTCTAAGAGGAGATCAACGGACTATTGTAAACCTTGAGTAAATAAAATAAATTAACAAGAAACACATCTTTCATTTTTGAACCTCCAGAATTTATTAAAAATACAAGTAAAACAGTAATGGAGGGTATGGATTCTGGAAGAAGAGGCAGGGGTCAACCAGCATGATAGTGCACACAAAAATGTCAAGGACAACCTATTTTTGAAATGTCAAAAGGCAGAAGTTGGCAGCGGACCGAGTAGCTTTCTGGCATGCTGTGATAACAGTGACATTCTGTAAAGTTTTTTTTTGGATTACAAATGTATTTATTTTTTGTCCTGTTGTTTCCATTTTATGTCACATAGGGCTCACAGTCCATTTATCCATTTCATTCTGTTCAATCAGCTCAATATCATAGATGGAATCCATTCAGCAGCTTTGGCTTCTACCCTCAATGTTTACCTTGGGGTTTTTCTTGGATGTGTGTCTTGGACGTCCTTGTTTCCTCAATCCCTCTGTTTCCCATTTCAGTGCCTGTCTGGTGAACCTCTGTTCATCTCTTCTCAGGATGTGTGAAATATAGTGACATTTTGTATGTCTTACAATTGTTGATACTAGTGCCCGTACATTTCTCTGATCTCATCAGTTCTCTAAACTGTTGATACTAGTGCCCGTGCATTTCTCTGATCTCATCAGTTCTCTAAACTGTTGATACTAGTGCCCAGACATTTCTCTTATCTCATCAGTTCTCTAAACTGTTGATACTAGTGCCCAGACATTTCTCTGATCTCATCAGTTCTCTAAACTGTTGATACTAGTGCCCAGACATTTCTCTGATCTCTTAAGTCCTCTAAACTGTTGATACTAGTGCCCAGACATTTCTCTGATCTCATCAGTCCTCTAAACTGTTGATACTAGTGCCCGTACATTTCTCTGATCTCATCAGTCCTCTAAACTGTTGATACTAGTGCCCGGACATTTCTCTGATCTCATCAGTCCTCTAAACTGTTGATACTAGTGCCCAGACATTTCTCTGAACTCTTCAATCCTCTAAACTGTTGATACTAGTGCCCAGACATTTCTCTGATCTCTTCAGTCCTCTAAACTGTTGATACTAGTGCCCAGACATTTCTCTGAACTCTTCAATCCTCTAAACTGTTGATACTAGTGCCCAGACATTTCTCTTTTCTCTTCAGTCCTCTAATTCATCCCATTTTTATGTTCAATGATTACAAATGACTACAAATGCTGCACAGTATTTCCCAAAACACAAATCTGTTCTTGTATTGTCTTACAAAACAATTATTACATTCTTGCATATCTATTAGCTTTGAATACAGAGCTCTTAAAATTGGAGGTTCAGTATTTAAAAATGCTATTTGCAAATATGTATGAAGAGATGCCACTTAGTTGTGTATCCTTTATAGTTAGTGCATTGCAAACGAAAGATGACAAGAAATAAGAACGAAACAAAAGTCATCACATACTGACCTTAACTCAGAAGATAACCCATACAAGAAAAGACAGGAATACTCACAACCCTTTCTATGAAAACACGCAGTGGTGGTCCCATTGCAAGTACTGCAGTCGGTGTGTGAATTGTAAGGCCTACATATGCTTTATGACGTGGAGTGGTAATTTCCCTTCTTTCTCACCCTTCTATTTTAGGAAATTTTCAGAAAACTTTGAAAATTGGTTAGTGGGTATCCTGTACGAGGCTGTAAATTGTAATGATTTGAAAATATCCTAACCTGGTACTGGTTGGAAAACTTCATCCCAACTTGGTACTGGTTAGGAAAAATCACCTTAACTTGGTAAAGATTGGGGAAAATCATCCTAATTTGGTATTGATTAAAAAAAAAAACATCCTGACTTGGTACTGGTGGGAAAAATTCTTCCTAAATTTTTAGTTTTGGAAAAAAATAATAATCCTAGCTTGGTAATGGTCGGAAAAAAATAATTCTTACTTGGTATTGGTTGGAAAAAAATCATCCTTACCTGATGCTGGTTGGAAAGAAATCATCCTAACTTGGTATAGTTGGAAAAAATCATTCTAAATTTGTATTGTTTGGGGGAAAAAATAATCCTAGCTTAGTACTGACCGTAAAAAAAAATTATCTTAACTAGGCACTGGCTGGGAAAGAAAATTCTTTCTTGGTACTGGTTGGAAAAAAAATCCTTCCTTGGTACTGGTTTGAAAAAATAATCCTTCCTTGGTACTGGTTTGAAAAAATAATTTCCTTGGCACTGGTTTGAAAAAATTAATCCTTCCTTGGTACTGGTTGAAAAAAAAATCCTAACTTGGTACTGGTTGGGCAAAATAATCCTTCCTTGGTACTGATTGGGGAAAAATAATCCTTCCTTGGCACTGGTTGGAAAAAATAATCCTTCCTTGGTACTGGTTGGAAAAAATAATCCTAACTTGGTACTGGTTGGGGAAAATAATCCTTTCTTGGTACTGGTTGGGGAAAAATAATCCTTCCTTGGCACTGGTTGGAAAAAATAATCCTTCCTTGGTACTGGTTGACAAAAATAATCCTAACTTGGTACTGGTTGGGGAAAAATAATTATAACTTGGTACTGGTTGGGAAAAATAATCCTAACTTGGTACTGGTTGGAGAAAAATAATCCTTCCTTGGTACTGGTTGGGAAAAATAATCCTTCCTTGGTACTGGTTGGGGAAAAATAATCCTTCCTTGGTACTGGTTGGGGAAAAATAATCCTTCCTTGGTACTGGTTCGGGAAAAATAATCCTTCCTTGGTACTGGTTGAAAAAAAAAATCCTAACTTGGTACAGGTTGGGAAAAATAATCCTTCCTTGGTACTGATTGGGGAAAAATAATCCTTCCTTGGCACTGGTTGGGAAAAATAATCCTTCCTTGGTACTGGTTGGAAAAAAATAATCCTAACTTGGTACTGGTTGGGAAAAATAATCCTTCCTTGGTACTGGTTGGAAAAAAAATTATCCCAACTCTGCTGAGGGACTGAAACCACCATCTTGATAGGCAAGCGCACTAACCAATAAGCCATCATAACTTGAGATGAAAAAAGTAAGAAAAACAAATGTTAGTTACCTGTAAATTTCCCTCACAAACTTGCTGTAGAACATTTCTGGGGCCAGTGTGAGCAAATGCTTATGATTAAATGGTGCATCGCAAACAACAACATCTACACAGCCGTCTCGGTATGGCATATCTGAAACATACAGCCAACATCAAGCCAAATAATACAAGCCCGCCCACGCATACTTGTAAAACACAGCAAACATCAAAACAAAAATGGTTGCACATATCAATAATATATATGCCCATGTAGGTGCAGAGATCCCATTTTGATGGGGAAAAAAAAGAATAGACCCACTGCCTCCTAGCAAGCATGCCATAAAAGGCACCTAATTAGGGGTTAGATGAAATCGTTCCAACTGCCCTTTTTAGGTCGAATCCACTACAGCTGCATCATATATATATATATATATATATATATATATATATATATATATATATATATATATATATATATATATATATATATATATATATATATATATAAACTGATCATAACTAAATAAACTAGTAGCTTACATCTTGAAAACTAGAGCCAATGATAAACTGCTTATGTCATTTTCGTTTTCAGCACACCAAAATTAGTTAAGATCAGCTATTTTCATTTCTGATACAAATAACTTTGGAAAATTTGTTGCCCCTGTAATCTAAAGCTGCTATAAATGTGAGTTTTCCTAGTGAAGTAAGAATTACAGACAAGAAACGGTATTTCATTCATCTGTGTTAACTTTTTAACACACCATGCATGTGTTGGTCCCTATTTACATGATAAACCTTTCTTGCGTTCTTGTACACCCCCCCCCCCCCAACCCCATCCAGTTGTTATATTAAAGTACTCTGCACCTTACGTGTACTGACTGTTCTGTGTGAGTTCAGGGACCCCAACTCTGGGAGGAAAAAGAACACACCCACTGCCTCCCTATCAAGCATGTTACCACAGTCAAATAATCTCGGGTAGTTCTTTTGTAAGTTGGAGTGCATCTGCCTGAGACGTGAGGAACCAATAGCCTGCATACAATTAAGCCAGATCTGTAAAGCAGATGTGCATGCAAAACTAAAGTTCTGGAACAAGACCAAAATCCAGAGGTGAATAACAACCACAACTTTCCACAAGAGTTTACAGTCAATGAAGGCGAAAAAAAAAGGGATTTTAACCAACTCTACACCAGTTGTTATGTTATTATTCCTTATAGTGTTATTTAACTTCTTTAGACCCAAAAAAAATGTAAATTAAAGTAACAACTTCATAGATTAATATAGCTGAGTTGTGTGGAGTTGATTGAAGAACCGACATCACAACACTCAGGGCATTCCCATAAGTGCTCCGTCTACATCTTCAGCAGCCAGCGCAGAGTTCCCATACTAATAGTGACGGTAGCATTCTGATTAAACACCCGTTTTGCCTTTACTCTGAGTCTCGAGCATCTGCCAGAACCCCTCGTCACCCCCAACTGCATCAATTTCACCAGACTATGGTGATCCATCTGCTCTTCCGAACTGTACACGCTCTCCCACAAGGCACTAACCTTCTGCTTTATCTTGCATCAGTATTCTACCAAGCTGTGCAGAGCCAGCCAGTCTTTCTGCCTGTTAATTTCCCAACACACTGGCGTTTCCTGGAGAGAATATCCAGACAATACTCCTCATCCGTGTCCTCCGCAGTGAAGCATGCCATTCTGCACGAAGCATGGCTGCCCTAACCTTCCTCAGCACGCTTTCTCAGTTAGTTACAATCACGATGTGTGTGTGTGTGTCATGTTCTCTAACCAGCGGAAAGCTGTAGTGACCGCCTCCACCTCCATTCTTAAACTGAATGTTGCGGTATCATATGCTATGCTCTCCTGCACCAAACGTCGACCATAAACTTTTGCTAAGAAATCCTTAGGACTTCTTTTGCCTCTTGACACTGAACCATCAATGTAAATAATCAAATCCTCTGAGCGAGTATTATCTTGAATTAATTGCTGAATTTCCACCTCCGTGGCACCTGCTGGCCAGTCTCTGCATTCCCGGCTAAATATGATTATAAACCTACACAAGTCTGACTGTTCAGGTGGCACTTTGACCCACTCCTCTCCTAACCTAATGTTCATAGAATAAAATGAGTTAAAGTAACACCTGTCAGTGACAGAAAGAACTGAGGTTATGTGTTTGAGTTTAAAGCTTAAAGTCAAGAAAACAGGCTTTATGGAACCAGGTTCTATCTCATAATGACTTCTCTTCGCAGAATAAGCAACTATTTGCCGGGAGTGTCACACAAAATACAAACTTCAAAGCTCCAGTGATAATCCCCAGGGATCACTAAAAATTGATCTCACACACCGAATGACACAGTTTGTAAACTGAACCCACAACCTTCATGAAGCAAATAGCCTGACTACTTCACCACGGAGACCTCCCAAACTGTGTGTTGAGACTAACAGTAGAACCAACATATAAACAGACAAACAGAGAATCATGCTTGTCTTACTGAGACCATCAGCTTCCAGCAGGGACACAGTCGCTGGATGACTGCAAGTGATCACATTCTGCAGTGCTTTCTCCAGCTGACTGGAGTCTCTATCACTTCCTACGAACCAGGCATCCTGTCATAAGGAAGCAAAACCATTTGTGAATTTCAAACAGAAAGCTAATTTAAGTAAATCAAAAGACCATTATTAGCTAATAGGTAGGGTAATACCTCTTACTGGGAATTGTCTGACAATGAAATAGCGAGACAAAAACACCATCTAGGAAGCAAAAATTATTTGTAAACTTGAAACAGAAAGCTAATATTGTTCATCCAAACACAGTTATTAGCTAATAGGTAGGGTAATACCTCTTACTGGGAATTGTCTGACAATGAAATAATGAGACAAAAACACCATCTAGGAAGCAAAAATTATTTGTAAACTTGAAACAGAAAGCTAATATTATTCATCCAAACACAGTTATTAGCTAATAGGTAGGGTAATACCTCTTACTGGGAATTGTCTGACAATGAAATAACGAGACAAAAACACCATCTAGGAAGCAAAAATTATTTGTAAACTTGAAACAGAAAGCTAATATTGTTCATCCAAACACAGTTATTAGCTAATAGGTAGGGTAATACCTCTTACTGGGAATTGTCTGACAATGAAATAACGAGACAAAAACACCATCTAGGAAGCAAAAATTATTTGTAAACTTGAAACAGAAAGCTAATATTGTTCATCCAAACACAGTTATTAGCTAATAGGTAGGGTAATACCTCTTACTGGGAATTGTCTGACAATGAAATAACGAGACAAAAACACCATCTAGGAAGCAAAAATTATTTGTAAACTTGAAACAGAAAGCTAATATTGTTCATCCAAACACAGTTATTAGCTAATAGGTAGGGTAATACCTCTTACTGGGAATTGTCTGACAATGAAATAACGAGACAAAAACACCATCTAGGAAGCAAAAATTATTTGTAAACTTGAAACAGAAAGCTAATATTGTTCATCCAAACACAGTTATTAGCTAATAGGTAGGGTAATACCTCTTTACTGGGAATTGTCTGACAATGAAATAACGAGACAAAAACACCATCTAGGAAGCAAAAATTATTTGTAAACTTGAAACAGAAAGCTAATATTGTTCATCCAAACACAGTTATTAGCTAATAGGTAGGGTAATACCTCTTACTGGGAATTGTCTGACAATGAAATAACGAGACAAAAACACCATCTAGGAAGCAAAAATTATTTGTAAACTTGAAACAGAAAGCTAATATTGTTCATCCAAACACAGTTATTAGCTAATAGGTAGGGTAATACCTCTTACTGGGAATTGTCTGACAATGAAATAACGAGACAAAAACACCATCTAGGAAGCAAAAATTATTTGTAAACTTGAAACAGAAAGCTAATATTGTTCATCCAAACACAGTTATTAGCTAATAGGTAGGGTAATACCTCTTACTGGGAATTGTCTGACAATGAAATAACGAGACAAAAACACCATCTAGGAAGCAAAAATTATTTGTAAACTTGAAACAGAAAGCTAATATTGTTCATCCAAACACAGTTATTAGCTAATAGGTAGGGTAATACCTCTTACTGGGAATTGTATGACAATGAAATAACGAGACAAAAACACCATCTAGGAAGCAAAAATTATTTGTAAACTTGAAACAGAAAGCTAATATTGTTCATCCAAACAGTTATTAGCTAATAGGTAGGGTAATACCTCTTACTGGGAATTGTCTGACAATGAAATAACGAGACAAAAACACCATCTAGGAAGCAAAAATTATTTGTAAACTTGAAACAGAAAGCTAATATTGTTCATCCAAACACAGTTATTAGCTAATAGGTAGGGTAATACCTCTTACTGGGAATTGTCTGACAATGAAATAACGAGACAAAAACACCATCTAGGAAGCAAAAATTATTTGTAAACTTGAAACAGAAAGCTAATATTGTTCATCCAAACACAGTTATTAGCTAATAAGTAGGGTAATACCTCTTACTGGGAATTGTCTGACAATGAAATAACGAGACAAAAACACCATCTAGGAAGCAAAAATTATTTGTAAACTTGAAACAGAAAGCTAATATTGTTCATCCAAACACAGTTATTAGCTAATAGGTAGGGTAATACCTCTTACTGGGAATTGTCTGACAATGAAATAACGAGACAAAAACACCATCTAGGAAGCAAAAATTATTTGTAAACTTGAAACAGAAAGCTAATATTGTTCATCCAAACACAGTTATTAGCTAATAGGTAGGGTAATACCTCTTACTAGGAATTGTCTGACAATGAAATAACGAGACAAAAACACCATCTAGGAAGCAAAAATTATTTGTAAACTTGAAACAGAAAGCTAATATTGTTCATCCAAACACAGTTATTAGCTAATAGGTAGGGTAATACCTCTTACTGGGAATTGTCTGACAATGAAATAACGAGACAAAAACACCATCTAGGAAGCAAAAATTATTTGTAAACTTGAAACAGAAAGCTAATATTGTTCATCCAAACACAGTTATTAGCTAATAGGTAGGGTAATACCTCTTACTGCACACTGTGTGACAAATAAATAGTGAGACTGATGTTTTTTTCAAGGCCAAGACATAAATTCCACATATGAAGCAAAATAAGTCACCAAAACAGTCAAATTCATTATGATCTAGCCAAACTGAAATGCCACCTGGTCAGCAGAGGCAACTATCGTACATTGCTGTAAGAGGCAACTATTGTACACTGTTGTAAAAGGCAACTTTTGTAAATTGTTGTAAGAGGCAACTATTGTACACTTTTGTAAAAGGAAACTTGTGTACACTGTTGTAACAGGCAACTATAGTACACTGTTTTAAAAGGCAGCTATTGTACCGTTATAATAGGCTACTATTGAACACTGTTGTAAGAGGCAACTATTGTACACTTTTGTAAAAGGAAACTTGTGTACACTGTTGTAACAGGCAACTATTGTACACTGTTTTAAAAGGCAACTATTGTACTGTTATAATAGGCAACTATTGAACACTGTTGTAATAGGCAACTATTGTACACTGTTGAAAGAGGCAACTATTGTACACTGTTGTAAGAGGCAATTATTGTGCACTGTTCTACACTACTGTAAGAGGCAACTAAATAGGGTTCACATGAAACTAGCTACATCATCCTGTAGCAAGAAATATCTAACCAATAATGAACAAGTTTACAAAGGGCTTTGCATGAGTTGTTTGAGGGGCAATAACAGCAGGATAATAATATTATTAATCTAAATAAATGATAGTAACAATAATAATAATAATAAAAAAAGAAGAAGAAGGAAAAACAAGAAGAAGAAAAATAAGTACAAGATGAAGAAGAATTAAATTAAATTACTACATTTTGCATTAGCTAAAATGTAAACATATCCCTTTTTAGGGAACACAAAGTAGCTTCTGGCATTCTAAGAGTTACATTACCTTGACATCCGAAGAAGCTTCAATCAGAATGGTTGCTTTCCCACACATGGGATCAAGTACAATATCCCCTGCCTGAAAGGTAACAAGTAAGATTTATTATTAAATATGCATACAGAACAATTTCAACGCAAAAAAAAAAAAAAAAAAAACCAGGCAAAGCCTATTACATGTAAGCCAATAGGCTAAAATCACACTGAAGAGAATTTGCATGATGAAAGTGAACATCTAAAATGCTGAAAATCGAAAGTGAGTACTCCAAAATAGTAAAAAGAGATGTGCCATGACGAAAGTGAGTACTCCAAAATAGTGAAGAGAGATGTGCAAGATGAAAGTGAGTACTCCAAAATACTGAAGAGAGATGTGCAAGATGAAAGTGAGTACTCCAAAATAGTGAAGAGAGATGTGCAAGATGAAAGTGAGTACTCCAAAATACTGAAGAGAGATGTGCAAGATGAAAGTGAGTACTCCAAAATAGTGAAGAGAGATGTGCAAGATGAAAGTGAGTACTCCAAAATAGTGAAGAGAGATGTGCAAGATGAAAGTGAGTACTCCAAAATACTGAAGAGAGATGTGCAAGATGAAAGTGAGTACTCCAAAATACTGAAGAGAGATGTGCAAGATGAAAGTGAGTACTCCAAAATACTGAAGAGAGATGTGCTATGATGAAAGTGAGTACTCTATATTGTTTGCTTGAAATAGATTAGCCATATCGGCAATGTTGTCTCTAGTATGAACTCCACTGTCTGTTGTAATTCAATCAGTGACACCTAGAGTCTGGCTTGCACCTGTGTTTCTTCTAAATTACTGAAAGAGATGTGCCATGAAGAAAATGAGTACTCTAAAATAGTTAAGAAAGATATCTAGTGATGAAATCGAGTCCGTACAGAAAAATACTGATTGAATTTTGTCCTCTAGTATTCTACACAGAAAGTTAAGTCAGTCAGTTGAGGTTTTAACATTGGTTTCCCCACACTTGCTCTGTTCCTGTGCCAGTGTAAATCACTTCCGGCCAAAATAGAGGAAAGGCTTTGCAGAATGTTAAGCTTCAAAGTTATTTTTGCTTCCAACAGCGCTTTGCTAGTGCAGTTTCCACATAAGGACGGTAGTCTATGGTTTCGCTGCCTGAGCTACTGAGTTAAGTGCTTGGTTGCAGCCCTGTGAGAAAGTTAAGAGCCTCATCAACTGTTTTAAAGAAAAACACATGAAGCTAGTACCGTATACCCCAATATTCCTCAGGAGTGGGAATGGGCTCTATACAATCAGTCCACGTAGGAATGTTGTTTTTAACTGTACCTAAAAAGAAACAGGATTCATGCCTCCTTTACAGAACATGGGACTTAAAAGAACTATTTTTCTGTTTGCTCTATTCAAGGGCTATTCAACTGGCAGTGCCTGGGTCAAATCCAGCCCGCAGAGGCCTAGAAAGTGGTCTGCGGATCACTGCCAACTGTTTTGTATTAATGATCTTTCTAGGCTAGAGTTCCAGCCTCTGGCCCGTGATGATTCCCATTTTGAACATTTATCAATTAGTTGAATAGTCCTGCTCTATTCTGACATGTCTTCTATAATGTGCAGTTGATATGATTTGAGTCCCAGGGGATTTAGCATCAGAGGCCCAAGGGGTGGTCAAGAGAGACATAAAATTGGCACATCTTGCATTCATTGGGCCTCTAGGTAGGAACCTACAAATATATGATGTCTTCCTTGCGACTCGAAGTTAAATTGATGTCAGTGGGGCCAAGACACACAAAGACAAGTTATTACAAACACCACATTTCGCAGTCCTTGGGCCTCTAGGTAGAAACCTATGAACAAATGATGTATTTCTTGGGGCGGACTGAAAGAGTTAAATTAACTAAAAGAATATATGTGTCTTCCAACTATTAAAATTTCTGTATGCTATCTTATGCATCATCTGCTTTGCTATTCTGATTTAAATTTTCAGAACATACACATAAAAACACACACTAAAACAATTTCACCTTGATAGAACACAGCTGACTCATAATCCATGCTATGGGTGCTCTTAACCCAGAGTCCACCAAATAAACTCTCTTGGAAAGGGGAAATCTGTGAATAAAATATGCCTTTTAACTCTCTCAGTACAAGGTAACTCAATAATCCTTTCTTGATAACTTTATTTTGTTGGATCTGTGTCAAAGTCACCTGTCAATTTTTGACGATTTTCACTAAGGTGCATTTTTAGGGCTGTTACTGTCACTTTACAATATGCCAAAGTCATTCCTACTCCAAGTAGGTGAGAATACTTTTCATGCAATCATACAATTTTTAGGGAGATCTCAAGTGCAGTTTTCTCATAACAATGATAACTTACGGTCTGGGGAGAATGGTGCTGCGGGGAGTTACCAGGGAATATGGCCGACACTCAACACTCAAGGGAAAGGCGAGACGGGTGTACAGTCAGACAGTTATTGGCGCCATCGAAACTTGAACTCTCTTGCTGCTGAAGATGGCGTCGGAATGCTTATAGGAGTGTTCAGAGTACAATGATGTCAATCCAACATTCAACTTGCGCACAGTGCTGACGATATGTAACACATTTTGGAATTGTCCACTCTCATTCTTGTTACACTACTCCATTCTAGTTCAAACATTATTTGACATCCCTCTAGTCTCAGAGTTTATTATTTTAAATCTCGTAATAATCTAAATCCTTCTACCTCCTAGCTTTTCAAAGGTAGCTTAGCTACTAGTAGTGTCTCCCATGTCTGACAGATCAAAGCAGAGGAACCAGATAAAAAGGAAGACACTTTTTTGCCTTGGGGATAGTTAAAAACTAGGGAAAGCAAACCTCCCAAAAATAATTTGTGTTGAAATCAGATATACTGAGCTAGAGACTTTATCCAAGGAAGAAGATGGAGATGGCTTAGACATGTCTGCAGACTGCCCCACAAAACTTTGGCAAGGATAGCTCTCTAGTGGATGACAAATGGGGAAAAAAGGGGATATGGAAGACCTAAGGAAAGATGGAGAAAAACAGTAGAAAGGTAAATGAAGTAATGTAAACTGACAAAGGATACTATGCAAACACTGTAAGGGGGCCGATATTGCTGTAAATGTGTGGAATATTGGGACTGAATAAATACTAGGTCAAGTATTAAGTGATGACATGATAACAACATCAGGGGTAGACAGATTAAAACCATCAGTTATTTCTCACCTGGTCAATGGTACTCCAACTGTAACATAGTCATCGCTGATATGTACACACACCTTCACAGACAAAAAAAATAACACTCACACAATAATAGGCTAGATAAGCAAAACTTATATTTGCTATACAATTTGTTTAAAATTAAACCAAATTAACATAAAATCTTAGTAACAAATCCAATATATGTTACACATAAAAAGTCTCTAAAGGCAAGAGGACCGACTTAAATTGAACTAGGTTTCATGCAATAAACTATGGTCTCTTTCTATGGAAAGGCCGGTTGATGTGGGAGAGTAGAACAGTTCTGTGTCGTCTCCACAATGAAGCTTGGCTACAGTGTACCACTGTTGTTTTTGGGAATGTTAGGTTGTGAGGCTCCAATCTCTTCCACAATGCGACTCTTGTACTGCTGTCCATAAACCATGAGAACGGATTTTCCCCGTCCACCAGGGGGAATGAACCACACCACTCAAGGATTATGAAACTGTTAACCACGTCTGATAGCCTCTAAGACACGGAGGATAGGTCAAGGTTAAAAACCTTTGATGGGGATTTAAACCTATAATGCCCACACTTGCATGTAAGTGTTTTAGTTACTGAGCTAAATGACTCATCTCATTTGTAATATACTGTCATCAGCATCATCAACACCCCATAGTGACACTGTTCAGTCTACAACAAAGAACAAAATCTTTTATGGCATCAGCAAACCTAATTCAACATCATTTATTTCTCAGACACGGCAAGGGGAAATGCCCTGTAATATGATTTACTCTGACAGATCGTTATTTAAAACTGTCTTCTGAAAGTCCATGCCGTGTGGCACTGGTAGTCATGTCAATCCACAACCTTCTGTCTCGTGTACTTTCAATCAGCTCTGACACAAATGATCCTCCATACCATGATGTCAAACTGTCCAGCATCTTTTCTCTCAGTCTCCATCTGCCTCTTTTCCCCTCCAACTTTCCTACTGTCACAATGTACTACAGTTTTCTCCTTCTCATTACATGACCAAAGAATGTAAATTGCCTCTTTCTGATGTGGGCAATCAGTTCTCTTCACGAGTCAGTTTCTTTCGAGACATCCTCATTATTCTTATTATCTGTCCAGGATATTCTCAGGTTCATGTATAAAACCACACACAAAAACTCATACATAACTGTACACACGTAAAATGCCTTTAACATGACATTAATATTAAATTTGTATTCACTAACAACTTTTCCCATTTCTCCAAATTTGTAGGGTTTCCACAACAAGCAGATGAGCAAACATTTTTACCTATATTAATTTTTTACCACTGTTTAAGCAGCACAATACACACTCATCAACTCTGACAACTTTTTTTTTTTTAGTTTTAAAAACTAAATGCCAAGGGATTCTGCAGGTTACAATAAAATTAAATGGCAAGGAAGTCTAATCACTTGATATCATACAATAAATCAGTTTTAAAATATTAGATATCAAGAGATGAATCAGTTTTAAAATGTTAGATATTATGAGATAATCAGCTGAACAATATTAGATAGTATTGGATGAATCAACTAAAAACAAAGCTGTAAGGTTACCCTCCAAATAAATGTTACCTCATATTGTGGCTTTCTAAGATCCACCCTCCAACCAGTGGCTCTGGCAACTCTCCATCCAAGATCTCTTGAAAGTTTCTAAATAGTAAAAAGAACAAACAGGTAGGTAGGTAGGTAGGTAGGTAAGTTGTAACCTACCAGGACATTACACAAGCGATAAACACTCAGTAACACTAGGTGACACCATGTGGATGAGGATCACTCGTGGAGAGGTCTCGGAAACTTAGTTCAACCGTTAGACCATATTTAGGGCCCCCGGCAAAAAACAGGAAGGGGCTTCAAAATAATGAAAAATTGCAATACGCATGGAGATGATTATTTAAGAAGTGTATTAAAAAAAAGAAAGAAAGTGGACATCTAAGTATTAGCAGCAATGAATGAAACTGACAGCTTTTTATACACATAACTTTAACTAGTTAACTAATAATTCAACCGGAATGCAGTGATTTCAGTCACTGACATGAGGAAAAGTCCGAAGTGATGTGTATGAGGGGATAATCATACCCCATTTCAGACAGAAGCATTCTTTGTGCTGGTTTTACCAACCCTCATCTAGACAGCTGCCACGTGTCCTCATTGTGCACGCTGGATAATGACCCATGTCAACCCCAGCAGAGATGGCAGGGGATCTCGGATGTGGTGGTCTTCAGAGACACAGTGTCCAGACAATCTCTGGCACATTCAGACCTCTAATGCATGGATGACAATGTGTGCACAGAATTCACTGCACAGTAAGTAAAGTACAGTGAGCAGGACCCACAGGTGGAGCCTCCTGATAAATGATGAAAGTCCAGATGTCTTTTGACTGAGAGTCCTAGTGTATGATAGCAAAAAGGTAAAGACTGGCTACAGTAACTCTTGAGATTGGACCAATGTCTCCTTTGAAGTCAGAGTGCATCTGCCTGAAGGAGAAGAAAATAACAGACTGCAGGCAATCCCGTCAGCAGGCCTGTAAAATGGCTTCTTGTGCAAAACTCAGATCCCAGAACAAAGCAAAAATTAAGAAACAGATGAATCATCAGGACTTTCTACTGCAGTCTGAGCCAGTAAATGCAAATAAACAACAAACTGGTAAAAAAGTGACAAATAAGCAGATCACACAGATGAGATGTTAAAATTAAACGATGACACATTCTCAAATTTGAAATGGACACAACTTATGTTAATATTAAGTATCTCACTAATTGAGATTCTCCGTGTGGGTTCTGGGATCCCAAGGTGGGGAAAACAAAAATAAATCAACTGCCTCCCCAAAAAGCAAGTTGTAAGAGTGTACTAACTGGGGGCTTCCTTCGAAGTCAAAGTATATCTGCCCAAGAGGCAAGGAACAACCAACTGCACACAAATAAGCCAGTAAAACGGGTGTACACGCAAAACTCAGCCCTGGCACAAAGACAAAGTCCAAACAGATGAACAACCAGAACTTTCCGCCAGAGTTTACAGCCAGTGAACAAAGAAGAAAATGAAGATTAATTAGGAAACCATTCAATAGAACCATTCTTCTTCTATTTCTTCTGCACTCATCGTTAAAAAGGTGGATGGTATGCTGTGGTTTAAAGACAGGCTGTGATATCTATACTTTTTGACTCAACACATCTGATTTTAGTAAACCCTTAATTAGCCACCTATTACAGCATGCTTGTTAACTCTTTACGGACGTTTAGCCAGTTTACTGGCAATTTAGTCTATCCCTTAAAGACTAAAGCCAGTTTACTGGATCATGATAGAGACACTCTAATTTTGTTCCGTTTGTAGGGAAAACAAACTTTTATGAACCAGTTTTTGAACAATTAGGATTAACAACAGGAAGTACTTTCATTTGCGACGTTCATCGTGGTTAGGGCATTATTTTGTGATTTAAACAAAAATTATTTAGATGGGATACAATTTTTATGAGATTTTTCCATACTAAATGATAAGGGAAAAGGTCTAGAACTGTTCATACTGCTCTATCGTTGATGAATCTCTACCAGATGGTGACAACAGTCTTGATATTATGATTGATATCTAAAGTATTTAAATTAATTGTTTCAAATAAAGACTAGCTAACACATAATTGAACAGAGAAGGCATGTGCATTCTTAGAATTGGATAATAGGGTTGAAAAAAATTACGTAAATAATTTTCATATGTGTCTAACATCCTTAAACGTTGTGTGGTTTTAAACAGACATATCGATGAAAAAAGTTAGATTAAACTACTGTAGCAATGATTAGTATGATGTAGCAATTCAGCCATTTTTAGTATGATGTACCAATGCATAGTATGATGTAGCACTGTAGCAAAGTATACAAAGATGTAGCAAGTTGAAGCATGATGTATGTAGCACTGTAGTAGTGTCCATTGTGATGCTGACATTATCATTCACGGAGTGCCAACTGGTCAATAAAAAATATGATTCTAGCATTTCATTCTCAATGCACCACTGGGGTAAAAACAAACCTTCTATGCCCCTGTGGGTTCCAGTGCAAAGACATTCTAGTTATATTGTTCTCAGGTTTTCTCAATGTGTGCTATCCAATGCCAGCGTCTTTTCTTCACCTTTTGGTCCACTGGAACTTGTTTAGTTCTCTCCCAAAGCTCTACATTAGTAATTCTATCATTCCAGTTAACTCCCTCTATTCTGTGCAGGCACCAATGAATGAATGTTTGTAGTTTATTATTAATTGCCTTAGTTGTTCTCCATGTTTCTGCTCCATGCAACAGTACTGACTTGACATTAGAGTTAAAGATTTTCAGTTTGGTAATAAAAACAAATTTCCTAGTGCTATGAAATCTCCTCTTGCCTTTTGTATCCATATCTTAATATCTGTCAGTTCCCCAATCTTTATCTTCATTACTGCCCACATAGATGTATGACTCCATGTCTTGGAGTGGGATACCATTTAGAGAAACCATATTCCTATTTGCCTATTTTGTTTCATTATCCTTGTCTTTCCCTTGTGGATTTTCAGACCTAGCTGTTGGGATATCTTGCATCAAGTATATTTAACTTATCTTGGTTGATAGTACTAAACTGAGATTACAGACCTTTACTTCCAATGACATTACCTGGTACCTGCTTTAGGCTGGGTCGACCTGGGAGCCAAGGTCAGTTTAGGAAAAAATTAAAAATTTCAATGAAGGTACGAATTCTGGACTTTCCGGTTGGCAACGAGTGTCTTGCAATAATAACAGACCATTTACTAGAACGAAGACAATTTCTAATACACACCTTTGTGTTGAGCCATCTGCTTACTTTTCCTGAGCACTTGATTGACATCCTGAATGAAAGAGATTCTTTATGTGTGCTATCATTGGTATCTTCTTTTATGCTGTCTTGCTTGTGAATTTCTTGTTGATTGTCTTTATCATCATTGTAGCAATTTAATGAACATGCATGATACACAGTGCTTCTACAGTTATTTACAGTGTCTTTTTCCCTGTACATTTTATGACTGGAATAAATCTGTCCAGCACAGCCATTCAAACCACTGATATCACAGTCAGACCGAACCTGTCTGACTTCAGAACAATCAACTGCAGCTTGTGTAACACAGTTATGATCAGACCTTCTGTCACATTCAGGAGTTTCATTCAACCCATCTGTACATTCACACCCAGAACTAGCCTGCCAAAGACCATGAGATGCCTTGTCTGACAACGTTCTTCTGTCACATTCAGTTTTAGCTACAGATACTTCTGTAGTGTGTAGGATATTAACATCAAGCTTTTGATATTTTTCAGCTGGACTAACTCTGTCAGAAGATGAGTTCTCAAATTTTTGCCTGGAGAGACTGAAATCGGCTGCCTTCTCATTAACACAGCTCTTCTTTATTGGCCACAAATGGACAGATAGTGACTGATTATCATGTCCTGGCAGAGTTGTAACAGAGGTGTTTTGTGTGCATGTTGATACACTCATGCTCTCTGTCTTGTTTTTGTGACTTTGTGATAAAATGTCAGCAAGTACTTTTACTGCATTAGAAATATTTTCTTGTGATGTGACAGAACACATGAGTTTGTCTAGAAAAGTCCTCTTATCTGCAAGAGAATAAAACAAGTCAAATATGATGTTTATAACAGCTGTCACAATCTCTTACAATACCCACACAAAAAAAATCTTTTGTTATTTTTTTAAATCAACATTTTCGAGTAGTGTGCGACAGAGGTTATTCGTCTTGCGTTGGGTTCAACAGTGGTACTGACAGCTGATTGTTTAGAAAGCAATAGCAAACTATTGAACTAACATGTGTCTAGAAAAACCAAATCAGCCAAAGCATGCTAGGGTTGGTTCTGCAACATCCTGTAAAAGATACACAACTAACTTAAGGCCAGAGGTTGGGGCTTAGTGGCTGGTTGTGAGCCTGAGGATTTGGGGCCTATGGCTGTGCAGGTCAGAATTGTGTTTTTTTGCCCCTTTACAGAAATAAATCTCCATCCCCTACCGAGGATCAAACCTGGGTCTTCCGCATGGGAGCCTAGCATACTAATCAGCCACTCCTCTCTTCAAACACAATTAAAACAAAGATAAAATATCAAATCCTGTTGCATGACATTTTCTGGTTATGTAATGCAATACTGAATGAATTATCATTGCTACTTCTGATGATCCTTCATGTTATGTTATACTGCATTATTCACCATCACATACAAGTTAAACAAAAACAGACATTTTGGTCAATACATGAGTTTAGCAACTTGATGAACACATAATATTTTGCTCTCCAGGTCATGCCGGTGTGTTGGAAAATGAGCAAGCGGATAGACTGGCTGGCTCTGCACCACTTGGTGGTGAACTGATGTATGACAAGCTGAATGTTGTGAGGGCCCTTTGGGAGCGAGTGAACAGTGCCGAAGAACAGATAGATCATTACGGTCTGAGGAGAATGGCACTGTGAGGAGTTACAAGGGAATCTGGCCGACACTCGGGGGAGGGGCGAGACAGATATACAATCAGACTGTTACTGGTACCATCTGAATTTTAACTCTTTGCTTTCTGCTGAAGATGGGGATGCAGCGCTTATGGGAGTGTCCCGAGTGCTGTGATGTCGATTCTTTATTCAACATAATAATGTGCCAAGTTATCACAATTCAATGCACAATTCCAAGTGTCCCAGTTTTGTGATGCACCAGCCATCCCAAACTACCTCTCCACATAGTCTCTGTGAGGGCGCCGTTATGGCGCATGCACGCACCCCCCCCCCCACCACCACCACCACCCACCCACTAGTCTACCAAAATATGCCCCGAAGCATCACTGGCATAAAAAGGGTCCTGTACTCTACTACTGTTCCCATGAGATGGTTATGTCTTTGATCATAGGTTTAAGACAGGATTGATATGTTTGTCCAGGATTCACTCCCAAGTATTCTAACAAGCATCTCACAGCATGGGGAGATAGCATATACCATCAGGGATGTTTCCATTATATTCTTCCAGTTTCAGTATATGGTTCAAGTAGTGATACCAGAATTCATCACCTGTCACTATTCACAAAAGAAATGCCTTCCACTCTGTAGCATAGCAAGTGGTTCAAACTCCACCATATGCACTCTTTCTTAGGCTATGATGAGCAATCTTCTTTGCAGTTAGTATCAACTCTTCCTCCAAGCAATGAGATACATGTCCAAATGCTGATGGCCATTTCGTATGATCATCCCAGATGGATGCTTGCTTCCTAATCATCATCAATTCTCCTTATGGCTAGTGGCACATGAGGCTTCAGAGAGGACTTTCCATGCTCTCCTGTCCTGTGCAATCTTCAGGTTTCCATGTCAGAGATGCCGCATTCAGGTCACTCTCCATCGTTCATCTCCATGTTGTTTTTGGTCACCCCTTTTTTCTCTTTCCCTCTGGTATCCATGTGAGAGCTGTTTTGGCAGGCATATCATTGCTTCCTAATAGTTACTATTTTTAATTCTGCCATGCCTTGCCAATGTACATTTTAATACTTAGCTGAATATTTATTATTTTCAAGTGCAAGTCTTAAAGACACAAAATGTTAAATTCCAAGTTTAGAAAACAATTTAAATTAATCTATTTTTCCCCCAACAGAAGCAGAAAAATGAAGTACATAGTGTTAATATAGTGTTAATAACTGTAAAGTTGGACAGGAAGAGAGACTGAGGGGAGATCAAGAGAGAAGATGTCAGACATTTTGGTATCATTGCGTGAAGGATCATCAATATCAGAAATAACCAGCGGTACAAGAGACAGAAGTCTGTGGAAATACATGATGACCAATGCCACACGGTAATAACCATAAGAACAAAATTTATTCTTACCAACACTGTGCTATCAATGTCAGACATGAACACTGTCTTCAGAAGACAGGAGAAAAATAGTCATGACAGAAATGACATGTTTACGTACTATGCTTGGTGTAACAAAGAAATTTCGACTTGAGAATGATATCAGAAGGAGAGTAGGCAAAGAATTTATACTGAACTCTATAGGTAGACAGCAAATCAAATGATCTAGCTATGTAACAAGACTGGCATCAGACAGGGCACCACAGAGAGCAATGCTAAAATAAAAGATGTTTTAAAAAAGGTGCAGAAACTGTGTCCCGCTGGGTACCAACAGGAGAAAAAGGCCTTGCCTTTATGTAACCAAAAAAATTTACACTCCATACTTGTGATATAAGCAATGCTATTATTATATATGTCAAAGAATATTGGATCTATGCAGCCAGCACAATCTTTTTATTACGAACACATTCTTTGACCATAAAGATTCACAACTTTACACTTGGTATAAATGGAATGATGTCTCCATCAAGAGCCAGATTGACTTTATACTTACCAGAGTTCAAGGAAGAAGGAGAATTCTTGATTCAAGAGCAATCCCTAATGGTCTATGTGACACTGACCATAAAATAGTTGTGTTAACAGCAAAACATCTTTCATTAAAGAAACAGAAAGAAATTAACCAAAAACAAGGATCTCATCAAGATAGCAAATCTGAAACAGGAAGGAGTAAAAGAACAGTTACAACAGAAAGTAGAGACAGCATTCAAACAACTTCCACATGTAGTTGGCAATATTGAGGAAGAATGGAGTAAATACAAAAACAGAAGAATTATGTGGAAAACGGAAGAGTGGAAACAGATGGGGAAATAACAAATATTCATCTTGGTGGTGCGAAGAAGTAAAAGACGCAGTTAAAAAGAAAAAGGACTTATATAAACAGTGGATAAAATCAAAGAAAGAAGAAGATTATATAAACTATAGACTGCAAAGGAGATAAACCAACAGGAGTGTCAAGAAAGCAAAACAAGCATCCTGGGAACGTTTCAGTGAGTCATTAGCAGAAAATGAGAAAACAGCCAGCAGAAAATTTTTCAAAGTAGTTAAAAATATGCGGAAAAGAGATGAGAGCTACAACCCCACTGAAATAATTAATGATAAGACAGGAAGGCCATTGATAGATCCACCCAAGATAGCAGAAATATGGAGGGAATACTTCAATGAGCTCTTTAATCCTCTAGGAGATCATCAGGAAAGAACAACTGAAGAGCACAGAGCAACAGTGTTAGAACCACACATACTAATTAATGAAATAGAAAAAGTCATTAAGCAGTCTCCCAAATATAAAGCACCAGGAGCTGATAGATTACCAACAGAAATAATTCAAACAGCAGCTGAAAGCAGCATCAGATGGCTTCACAGAATATTTAATGCAGCATGGGTACAACAAACTGCCCCTATTGATTGGCAACATGCAATAGTTATACCATTGCGAAGAACAAAGGAAGCAAACGAGAATGCGGTCAATACCGAGGCATCTCTCTTTCAAGCCATGTTAGCAAAATGCATGCCAAGATAATAGAAACAAGACTGAGACCAGTGATAGAACCACAGCTGGCAGAAGAACAGATGGGATTTAGGAGAAATAGAAGCTGCACAGATGCAATCTTCACACTTAAACAGTTAATAAAAAAAAGAACATTGAATACAATAAGAACTTATTTGTGGCATTCGTAGACCATGAGAAGGCATTTGACAGAGTCGACAGACAATTATTATGGAAAGTAACCGCAAGATATGGAGTAAGCGAACACCTCATCGAAGTGTGCAAAAGTTTATACAGGTATTGTAGAAGTGTAGTTAGAATAAATCAGGGAACATCTCATCCATTCACAGTAACATCTGGAGTAAGACAGGGGTGTGTCTTATCACCACTGCTGTTTATCACCTACATCGACAGTATATGCAAGAATGCCAAGCCCATGAATGAAAATGTTAGTAAGATCAACAAATTACTCTTTGCAGATGACCAGGCCTTGATAGCAGATACAGCCATGAAATTGCAACAACATCTAACATCCATGAATGAAGAATGTAAAACAAATAATATGAGAATCAGAAAAGACAGAAGTAATGTCAATAGGAAAAAAGAAGACAGATCAAGTCATAGCAATAGAGTGCAAAGGCATTAAACAGGCATTTGAGTTTAAATATCTGGGAACTACATTTACCGAAGATGGAAAATTGGATAAAGAAATTAACATTAGATGCAGTAAAGCAAACCAAGTTTTGGGACAGCTAACCCCCCTCTTACAGCATAAGACAATCCCATTCAGCCCAAAGAGACATTTTATTCAAAGCATATTTATTCCAACTCTGTGCTACCAGTGCCAGACATGGTCACTCACAACAAACCATAAAAGAAAATTAGTAACCATGAAAATGAGATGTTTGAGAAGGGCTGTAGGAGTGACCATAAGAGATAAGATCAGGAATGAGAACATAAGAGAAAAAGTCGGCACAGAACCAATTCTAAATTACATACGAAGACAGCAAGTGAAATGGTTTTCCCACTTAGAGAGAATGCCTTGTGACACGATACCATACAAAGCATACATGGAAAGAGAAAAGGGACGTAGAACATGAGGTAGACCAAGAGCAAGATGGAAGGATAACAGAGAAACTCTACAACAGCACGATGTGCCTATTGCCGAGGCGACCAGAAGAGCTAGAAACAGAACCTTACATCTCCCTCGACACCCACAGCGGTAAAAGAGGAAGTTAAGAAGAAGAAGATTATTATATATGCAATGCCCATACACAAAAAATTATCACAATGTAAATTAATAAGGTTATATTTCTTACTTGTTATATAAGTACTGTTATTATAATCTGTGATGCCCACAAACACCCGCTCTACTGATCTCAGTGCCAATATTTTCTTGATGTTCAACTCAATGGCTGATGATAACAGTCTGAAGAATACTTTTCCATCTCGAGTTGAAACCTAGAAATAAGACAAAACACATTTCTATAAGAAATCAGAAATAGTATTGTATATCCAACGGTGACTGACTTCACTGGCTGTTCAATAGGTGTGCGGGAAGGGGGCCTTGAGCCTGAGCTAGTGAGGGGTGCATGGTTACAATGCTTCATGGATGGTGTTTTTGTCTTGGCCACAAAAAAGAAATCAGTCTTATTATTTTATTGCCAGACGATGCAAAGTAAGAGGCATTACCCTACCTACTGGCTAATGATGGTCTTTGAATGCATATGAGTTTTTCTCCAGGGTCACATGGTTACTACAGCCACCAGGGACTGTGCAGGTTAGAATTTCATATGTGTTCCCAACAGAAAAAAAAAATCATCTTTCAGAGGAGATGAACATGGGTCTCCCAAAAGAAACCCAATGAACGTAAGATGGGCCAATTTCACATCTTACTTTACTACCCCTTGGGCCTCTGACGCTAAACCTTATGGGACTGAAAGAGCTAATATCCACCGGTAATAAGTCTAAAAAAGATTAGTTAAAACATTGGTTATTATGTAGCAAATTATTTGCAGAACAATGTTCTCCTAGCCCTATTCTTCATCCTTTACCAGTTTCCAAGCCTCATATGTTTACATGCTCAGTATGTCTTTAGTTTGAACGAAGCATCATAACATTTAGAGCTAGAAATCTGATTCTAAATCAATGGATGTTTTACAAAGGAAACTTTTCGGGTCATCAATCAACAGTCTTAAGCCAAACTAGAGGGAAACACATGCCATCTTGACGCAAAAGAACCATCATCAAGGAAGGCTCAACCATGGGCTTAATGAACATCCAAGAACTGAAACAGGTAGCAACGAACTGCTAGAGTTGGGCAGCTATGACCTCTGCCCTTTTCACTGCCTTAGGCTCAAGAGGAAAGACTAATTAACTAACTAACTAATGTCTTTAATGTTCTCCTTTTTTCTGCATATATCTAAAGATGTGAATATGTTGTGCCCATTCACAACATGGCTGCAATATTTGGCCAGCAAATCTGACTTCTGCAGGTATGTATTGTCTGGGTTAGCCTTCCCAGTTAATTTTGTGAGATACTGCAGTCTCATTGTTGTGTGGTCATCTTTCTCCTAGTTCACAGATGGTGCCACCATCAGAACAGTCCGCAACTGCAAGGTAATGCTGGTCATCCCTTAGGAGAAGGCAGGGGCAGAACATGAGTATTCTGCACCATCCAAGAAGGATTTCATAAATGCAGAGCCAATACATGTTGCTAACGTACTGGGCTCACCCAAAGAATCGTCATGTCCTTCCCATTAGTGTTTTACCACATCTCCATATACAGTGAACCTCGCTTAACGAGCATAATTCGTTGGAGAATCATGCTCGTTAAGCGAAACACTCGTTATGCGAAAAAAAAATTTCTCATATAAATTAATGTAAAATACGATAATGCGTTCCATATTGAAAAAATACTTACAAAATGCTTTGTATAACATTTATTCAAAGAAAATTATATATATCTATATTGTTGAGAGTGAATCATCTTTTCACCTTTTCTTCAAACAAAGAACAAACCCACCTAGAATGTTAATTCGATTTGCTGAAGAAAAAAAAAGTCAAAATAATTATGATACATAGCTTAATATTTTTTTTTAACTAAAACGATGTCCAGAGACATTTGCTTTTGCCGACGCTTCAAAATTTGGCGAAAATGTGACACAGCATTATCATTTTAAAAAATTGCAGCGCCCATAGCCACTTCCTTATTAGGGTGATGCTTCTCAATGTAAGATGCAACTATTTCCCAAGCTTTCAGCATTTCTTTAATTCGCCAGAAGATTGTTGCTTTTCTGTTACCTCCTCCTCTGACAAACTTTCCTCAAAAACTTCTTGCTGTGAAACACAATGCAACTCCATAAGCTCCTCAGTGGTCAGCTCTTGCCCCTCTCTTCGCCACTCGTTATGCGAAGCATTGATTGTTAAGCAAGTCATTCTTTTACAATTTGTTTTGCTCGTTATGCGAATGACTCGTTATGAGAGGTGCTCGTTAAGCGAGGTTCTACTGTACTGAACCTTTAGAAGCCAGCCGGAGACTGTTGCAGGCTTAAGATATTTTTAACCTAAAAACATGAGTACTTTGCCTTTTATGCATGTCTGACTTTTATTGCAGCAGACTTCTGTGTCCACTATAATTACACGTGACATTTCCCACATAGATGCCTAATGGCATTTAGTGTGGCAGTATACAGACAGATGGGTCTGTTTCATCCCCCCCACTTCATGGTTTCTGAACTTCTAGGGACTACCAGCTCTGAGATTCCTTTTGTCTCACACCTTCAGATTTCAATGTAAACATATTTAAAAAAATCAGCAGTCAACTTGAGGATGCTGTCTTTAGTGTTCTATGCCAACTGTCATGTTGGTTGACCACTGCAGCAGTCTCATGTACCGTTATTTCCTTCTGATATACACATTGTTCCATGCTATGACAAACTGTCCCTCATCCTGTCTTTTGATCTCCTCTCCTCTTACTTTCCCTCTAACTTCCATCTTGTCATAATGTACTGCAGTTTTTTTTCTCATGACATGCTCAAAGAATTATGATTATCATTCTCTGATGCAGGCAATCAGTTCTCTTTTAATTTCTTTCAACTCCTCTACTTCACTTTTTTTTTTTTATTTGTCTACGACATTCTCAAAACTATTTAATAAAACATTTCCGTAGCTTACACATAATCTGACATCCATCTGCTGTCTATGATTTAAACCTGTGCATCATGACTGTCTCCTGATGACACAGTTCTTAAAAACAATCTTGCTCCCTTCCATTTATAAAAATATATTGTATATTGCACTCATTATTTTAACACTTCCAGACTACCAATGCTTTTTATTTATCTTCACAGAACTGGCCAACTATCTTTTTCAGACTAATTAGAAAACTCAAAGGGGTAGTCTGTATGTATTTTTCTGTCTCTTAGCCTTTCTTTTTGACAGACAATTTCAGTCTTTCTAAAACTACTTGAAAGCCTGATGCCACCTCTTCTGTCTTGGACTAATATATATTCAGCTCCATTACAAAAAAAATTTAATTCTCTCTGGATGGGGGAAAAAAACCTTGTGGGAAGTTCACACTTCCCACTGTCCAAGCATACATATTTGCATTATATTCAGTTATGTTCCTAGTCTTTTAATTTTTAATTTCAATCATCATTGTAATTTTCTATGTACCATGCTAGGTTTTTGAATTTTAATGGTTTTCTTTTGCTGCCAGTATCTTTCTCACCAACATATATCATGTATAGCTTGTGACAGCCTTGCCAGACAAGGGAACCTTTATTATTTTTATTCATAATGTTACTTGAAGGAATCAAATACTGACATCACTGCACCCAGGGCATTCTCACATAAGCTCAGTCCCCTTCCTCAGTAGCCAATGAAGAGTTACCACATTGATGATGCTAGTTGCAATGCATTTCTTCTTCTTCTTAGCGTTCACCGGCTGTAAACTCCAAGGAAATTTCTGGTTGTTCATCCACTTATGGAATCTAGTCCCGTTCCAGCAACTGAGATTTGCATGCAGACTGTTGGTTCCCTGACTCTCAGGCAAATGTACTCTGACTTTGAAGGAAGGTCGAAATTAGTCTCGACTCTTACGACATGCTTTTGGGCAGGCAGTGGGTCTATTCTTTTTTCCCCACAATGTGGCCCTGGAACCCACACAGAAAGCAACACATTTAAAAGTCCACATGCATTTTCCCATGATCATTGAAAACAGTCCAGACCCACTAATAACTCCCTAATGAATCAACCTCTGGCAGTATAGAAACTGTCTCTTCCACAGCACTGTTCACTTGATCTTTGAAAGCATTCATCATTGCTACCTCTGGTAACATCTCTCGCTACCTCTGCTTTATCATAAAGTAGCTCACAGCAAAGAAGGAAGAAAGCAGCAAATCAGTTAGTCTGACATTGTTACTGAGAGCACTAAAACTGTTTTTGGTCATTATCTAATCAGGACAGAAAAATGTGATAGTTGCTTTTTGCATCTACCTGCCAATGAACCATTTAGTAAAGTAAAGATCCCTTTTCACGCCCCAAACATATCAGACACATTCGAAGAGCACCCATATTTTACAGACCATCGGCACTAGGTGGGTAATGTGGTCAGGATTACGCCGGCCTTCTTTACTTTCCCAGCACATACATCGTGGTACCCATTTAAGGCTGGGTTGACCTGCGCCGCCCCATACCATGAAAAAAAAACACGCAGCCAGCAGTGGGCTTAGATCAAGGTATTTTGGAATTACGAGTCGGAAACGCAATGCCTAAGTCGCGGACGCTGCAATCAACCATCTAGTCATCCTAAAAATTTATTTATCACTAGCTGGTTCTATCAACTATCTGAGCTGCTCAACTTTGATCCCTCAAAGCATCTCCAGGCATGTCTACAGCACCAAGAGTTTTTAAGCTTTTATTTACTGTATGCAGCTGAAACATGGAGGGCAACAAAAACAGTTACTAGTAAACTACAAATGTTCATTAACCTGTGCATGCACAGAATATAGGGAATTAAAAAGTGATAGTAGCACTGATGGCTAGTTTTGGCACAGAACTAAACAAAATCCAGTGAATCAAGAGGTGAGGAACAGATGTTGATGTTGAATATGACACTCACTGAGAAAACCTGATAACAATAAAATTATAATGTTTTTGTACCGGAACCCACAGAGTAAACCAAAGGCAAACCAAAAATTAAATGAAGAAGGAGAACTAGAGAGAGAAGTGAGAAAGATGGTGAAGATGAGGAGTAAGATGCATGCAACAGGAAAGAACAGGATGGCAGGGTACGAGTTGTTTAAGGGCTTATGCTCCATTGGGGAACAACAGAATATATTTAAAAAAAAAATAATAATAATATATGAAGAATACATCATGTTTATTTATTTAACTTTTAGCAGACTGATGTTCTTCAAAAGTTTTAGCCGAGTTTTCTTATCTTACAGTTTAATTAAATTTATTGTTTCCCAAGATGAAGAATATTCTATGCAATATTGTCAATTAGGATGATGAAAATCATTCTGACTTCTTTCAATTCTAGAGAGTTTTATACAGATGTCTAAGGGAGTAAAGAACTATAACAATAATCATGAGTGTATGACGTTCAAAGAGGCTAAATACAATAGGAGTTCCCATTAGAGATACCAGATTTCTTTGGTGTGTTTTGACCAAAGGTAAAAAGTAAGAGAACATGTAGTTGGAATTCAAGGGAATAGGACAAATACATATCACATTTCTGAAAGAGTTAAAAGCCTATATTAAGCCAATCCTGATGCAGGCGTTCTGGGCATATAGTGATAAACCTAAGTTTTATAGACCAATTAGCACTTGGTGAGTGACGTGTTCAACACCATGCCAGCTGCCTTTACTTCCCAGACTCCACATGGTGCCCATTTTTTAAGGCAGGGCTGACCTGGGAACCTCAGTCAGTTTTGGGAAATGGTCCGGCTATGTTCGTATTTGAACCCATGACGTTCGAATCAGCAGATGATCATCTAGCCACTACACCATGGTGGCTCCTGTCTATTTATTATTCATATCTTAAGCAATCACGTCATATGTTTTGGGGCCATGTCATGAGAAAACGCATACACCATGACAAGAGGAGTGGAATAGCATGCTAATGTCAAGTTTGGTATGGCATGAAAGAACATCTGTATCAGAAATCTTCTCGTTCTGGTTTTTCATCCACCTCTGTACTGAAGTCTTATTCCAGAACCTTAGTGTTGTGTGCACATCAGTTTAACAGATCTGGCTTATTTGTACAGACTCTTGGTTCCTTGCTTTCAGGCATATATACTTCAACTTCGAAGGATGCCCCCCAATTGTTCGACTCCTACCACATGCTTCTTGTAGAGACAGTGGGTTAGTCTTGTTTTTCCCACTAAGTGGACCCAGAGCCGACAGGGGAAGTGTCAGATATGACTGGCAGTATACAAAACAAAGGAGTGTGGTTGAAGTGGAAAAATTGGATAAAGTGCCATTGATTTGCTCTCATATAAGTGCATATAATAGCAACAAATTTACTGCTTAAAGCTAATGTTTCAGGGTTATTCAATTAAGTTACCTCAGCGGCCCAACATTTTGAAAATGGGGATGGGTGCATTAGTAATTCTTACCCTAAACGGGGAAAATCCACAGGTCACAGGACAGTCTAATATTTCAGGGGGTGGTAGATAGGCTGCATGCAGTCATGGGACCTAGACTGCATACAGTCGTTGGGCCTAGGCTGCCCTCTCTCGTGGGACGTAGGTGTGTTGGGGTTAGGGCCAGTTCTAGATGTTTTGGGGTCAGAAAGCCGGAAAACCCAGTCTCACCACCCTCTAAAATGTTGGACTGTCCTGTGACGTCATCTAGGGTAGGATATTAATACAGCAACGGAGATTGTGACAGGTATATCAGACCAGATTCCCAGCATAGAATGACCATTAATACAAGTGGCAATGATCCATAGACCACTTACTAGGCCTCCGTGGGCCAGATATGGCCCTCGGTCTGCCGGTTGATAGCTCTGCACAATATGTTAGTAAAAATAAAATGTCCACAAACTGTGAAACTAAAGGAAAACATGTAAAGCCAAGACTTAAGATATTACAGAATAAGAACATACTTCTCCAGGCATTACTTTCTTTCTAATTTCATCTGCAGCAAACTCTTCTGTTCCTCTCCCAGCTGTGGCAAAAAACGATATACTTTCTCTTTCAGGATTCATACTGCTGCTTCAGTATAGGTCTGCAACTTATGTGTAGATTACGGTGACCTCACAGTTAAATGATGCTTCTTCTAGAATGTACTTCTTTCTATGAGTGCCAAATTTTAAATTGTCTGTTTATTTTATGTATATATATATATATATATATATATATATATATATATATATATATATATATATATATATATAAGAAAGTAGGAGAATTCCTGGAAATTTTGAGCTTAAAGCAACAACACCTTAACCACGCACCTACATTGGACAGCTGGTTATTTCGTAAAAGCAGGGTGTCTCAGTGTAACCGTAGTGACTGTTACTATTACTATTATGTGATTGAGCTGTGTCTCAGTCTCTTGGACTTGCTCCCATAGTATTAGTAATACATCTTAATAAAATATGAATAGTATTAGTTACTATTATTAGTTATTAGTGGCTCTTTTATTAAGTAAATCAACTGATCAACTCGATATAATTTATTATAAATCCTTCTGACAGGTAACAAATATTAACTTTGAGGCCGTATATTCTCAGGCTCAAGACCTCCTGTCTACACCACCCTAAAAAATTTTTAAATAAAGACAGGTGTTCTTTCTTCTAGTACGGGACTAAACTTTGGCTAAGTCAAAAAGGAATATTTTTTAGTCAAGTTTTGTTTTTCAACCGCTAAGTCTTCGTTATATTACATGATCGTTTAATTTTCTCAACATTCTAATAGAGCTTAAAGAGCTTAAATTTAGATATTGTTTTTCTCAAATACATTAAAGTAAGAATAAAAGCTCTGTTGCTCTTAAGTATGTTATTTTTACAAAATAATGTAGTTAAAAACCTTCAGTACTAATAACTATAATTATTTATTTACAAATCGAAACAGTGTTAGATAAAAGGGACGTAATGCTTGAAATCATGGCTGCGTCCTTGTAGAATGAAATATATTTGACACGGCAGAATTTTTGTTTGAATTTGTGAAAATCGTTTGTACTAAACATGGCACTTGCTAAGCTAATTGGAAGTATTTTAAAGTCGGTCAGTCATCAACACCAGTCGAAAGTAAGTATAGCTGACTTACAAAGATTAGTTTTTGATCTCACTCTGCTGATCGTTCTGATCTGATTCTTCTCACTTGTTAAAGTTAAAGTTTAAGTTTAAGCCTTCACTAGCTACCCTGCTACCAGTTGAATAGCCCTGCCAATACTGCCATCGTGTGTCACCGAGTGTTGTTTGAGAGAGGAGAGCGAGAAAGTAAGAGAGAGTAGTCAGTAAAGTGACTACAACAAAATACAAATTAAAGTCACTAGTATATAGTAGTCAGTAAGGATAATTGAATTAACCCACAGTGCGGTTATTGAACCACGTACTGAATATCACTTTTTTCCTGTTATTCTGTACACTGTAATCACTCATTATTTTTGTGTGGCTCTCCTTTGAATAACGGTCTCAAATGATCTACGCAGAAAATGAACCCAAACAGCCTCATTACGTCCTGCGCTACAAACATTTAAAAGGTGTAGCAGTGTAGCTCGGAAAGAATAAGCAACGAAAAGTGTCAGGAAAAGTGCAAAGTCTACTACTTACAGAAAATTAAATCCTTTATATGTGAAAATTGTGGCACATAAGTTGCAAATAGTGCGTGAATATCTGTTCTTTCTTGCTGTCCGCCATTCCAACTCAGCACACCTTGTCCACGATTCTCGTTCCGGGCGAGACATGATCAATAAGGCGCAGTTTCATGTACGCGCATGTCGCCTCGGGAAAACTTCAAACCAGCAGCCGCCACGATGGTGCTGGTACTTCCGACAGAAGTAGCTCCTGTAAATTGTAGACTTTTTCCCGGCGACTATAGTGCTACCTCCGAGAGTATCCACCGCTACGCGCGGCGCGGAAGGGACTAAACTAGATGGCTAGGACTCACAAGCAAATACATTGGAGGAAGCTGCTGGAGCTGCTGCTCGTGAGTCCTAGCCATCTAGTTTAGCCCCTTCTGCGTCGCATAGCGGCGCGGGGGATACTCTTGGAGGTGGCACTATAGTCGGGGAAAAGCGGTCCGCAACTTACATGTAACTTGGGCCCTGCCATAGGATAGCGCTATCGAGAGTATTCTCGCGTGTCGCTAATTTTTTTCATCCATAGTTAATCCTAGTTTTGCCGCCGTGTAATCGCCATTAAAAAATCTGGTGCGTTTCGCGAAAATGTCGCACGCAATTAATCCCACTTTTAACACGGTTGAATCGCCGCAAAAGAAATGCAAATTTTAGATATGAGTGAGGCTCTGTTTGGGTTTAGGAGAGCCTTTTTTTAATGCCGGTAATGTGCAGGTTGACTCCACTAAGTATTTCAAGAAACACAGTAATGCACTTGTTACACAAGGACACATCAACACACATGTGTTAACTGTATATAGACTCTGTATTTAAACATTACTGTATCAGCTTGTCCACTCTATCTGTTTGATGCAAAAATGTGTGTAAATATAGAATGAGATGCAAAAGTAACCTATTCTGTGATAATTATATGTTTATTCTACAAAGATATTACAGTTTAATTTTTTACTGAGACTGTCTATCACTAAAGTTACATCATCCTGAAGATATTTTTTAATGAGTTACTCTGTTATAGGCTTCTTCTTATTTTTCTTCCTGTTATTTTCTCTATCTCCCTCTCTTCTCCCTCTTCTTTGTTCTTCTTTTCTCTGAATTAGAGGAGAGTATTGTCAACCAACATGGTTGGTGTTTGTAACTGAATCTTTGCTCAAGATATGGTAGGCAGCCGCAAGACCAACACATTTGATTCACCTCTTACCACATGCTTCATATTTTGGTATTACTGCTGATCTTTGCTTCCTTCAGGGATTCAGTAAAAAATCATACTGTACCAATCACTATACAACAGCACTCATAAATCATGCTCCATCTACAGTATCAATCACTATCATTGCACCTGTAAGTTGTATAACAGCTATAGTCTTATTTGACACGTCACTATATCATTGCAACTCTAAGTCATAAAACAGCTATAGTCTCATTTGACACATGTCACTATATCATTGTACCTGTAAGTCGTATAACAGCTATAGCCTTATTTGACACATATCACTATATCATTGTACCTGTAAGTCGTATAACAGCTATAGTCTCATTTGACACTTATCACTATCTATAGTCTCATTTGACACATGTCACTATATCATTGTACCTGTAAGTCACATAACAGCTATAGTCTAATTTGACACATATCACTGTATCATTGTACCTGTAAGTCATATAACAGCTATAGTCTAATTTGACACATATCACTATATCATTGTACCTGTAAGTCACATAACAGCTATAGTCTAATTTGACACATATCACTGTATCATTGTACCTGTAAGTCATATAACAGCTATAGTCTAATTTGACACATATCACTGTATCATTGTACCTGTAAGTCATATAGCAGCTATAGACCCATTTGACACATATTACTATATCATTGTACCTGTAAGTCGTATAACAGCTATAGCCTCATTTGACACATATAACTATATCATTGTAGCTGTAAGTCATATAACAGCTATAGTCTCATTTGACACATATCACTGTATCATTGTACATGTAAGTCATATAGCAGCTATAGTCTCATTTGACATATTTCACTATATCATTGCACCTGTAAGTCATATAACAGCTAAAGTCTCATTTGACACATATCACTATATTATTGTAGCTGTAAGTCGTGGAGCAGCTGGAGCCCCATTTGACACATATCACTATATCATTGTACCTGTAAGTCATATAACAGCTATATTCTCATTTGACACATATCACTATATCATTGTAGCAGTAAGTTGTAAAACAGCTATTTTCTTATTTGACACAAATCACTGTCTCGTTATACCTGTAAGTTGTCTAACAGCATAGTCTTATCTGATACAAATCACAAAATCATTGCACTTATATAAACTTATTTCCCACGAAAACATTAACTTTTTGTACAGTTATATACATACTGTAGCTGCAATGACTTAAATGCAGCCTGGCCGTAGTATGGGTACTGTCTGAAATAGTCCTTTGGAAACAGATGTGGGTGATTATCACATTCTTCTCAATTGGCATGGGTTCTCCTAAGATTACCTCATCAGAACTAACAGCTGACCACTCAGCTGCCGCTTGTGTTAATTCACTATCTGAATCACTTTCCAAACAAATTTAACTTTTAACTATCATTATTAGAATTTAAAAAAAAAAAGAAAGAAATTAAAGAAATTTGTGCCGACATATGTTAACAAGACTTATATACAAAGAAAAAACCTTAGAGTTACTTTCGCTGACTACTCTGATGGTGGTTCCAAACATTAGAAAGACATACAGAGCAAAATGTGAATCATTGTCTATGGTACACATGATTGACTCAGATTATATGGTTTTGGAAAATCAGAACTTCTCACTTAACACACAGCTTTGTTCGGGCCTCAAAGAGTTAAATCATATTCCAGTTGTAGTCTTATCATTTGACAGCAGTTATCATGAAATCATATCACTTGTATGCTTCATCAGTTGATAGCTTACACATTTCTCCTACTGTTATTACAAATAGATTTTCCTGACAACCACTGTGAGACTGCAACAGAATGCTGAGTTCTCTGACACTCAAGGACCTTCAGAACCAGCTGAAGATCTTGAAACAGGTATATTGATGTGTTAGTTTTTTGTTTTGTTTTGTTTTTTCAAGTTTTATGCCACAATTAAAACATTAACAGAAAACAAAAGAGAACTTATTTGAGCAGGATCTTTTATTTGACTCTTGGTATAAATAGCAAAGGACCTTTTTCACAACAAATTCACAAGCCATATGGGGCTGGACCTGTGTTGTTATAAACTGATTGACACTCACTGGGTGATGTGGTCAGTGTCATCATTCAATAAATCAAGCACCGTCTCCACAATGCAGACATTCCCTGGTACATATTTTAGACTACACATGTAGCCACAGTGCTGCCATTTCAGGACTCTGGTTTAACAAAAGTAGCACTAGAAAAACTGGCAAAATAATTATCTAAGACATACAGTACTGTGCTCTGAAATTGGGTATTACTGGAGTTTACAGAAGTGTCTATTGTAGACCAGATGTGTGAATTTGCGGGCACAGAATGGAAGAGGGTATTTAATTATACAGTAACATTTTTTGAACTCAAATTCCAAGGGTTAAAAAAATCAAGAGTTCTTTAAAATAAAAATTTGTATTAATTGGGGACTAATAGTTGTATTATGGATAATACATCCCTAGTGAACCCAAATGTTTGTTCATCTTAACCCTGCTGCCTCATGAAGGCTAGATCTAGTTACTTCAGTTGTGACAAATTCCCTGTAAATGCCCATGTATCGGCCTGTCTACAGTGACGTGTTCTTGAAAAGCGTTGTTACATTCCATTGGTTCTTTGTGCCACGGCAATGTTTTCTAGACCTGCATATCAATATATCAACTAAAAATAACATTTAGAGAGGTTTCTTTATGAACACAGTAGCTTTTTTAAAGCCAAGCTGATGTCAAATTTTCCCTTAAACCTCAGTAGTAGAGGTCACAGGAACACTGCATGCGTCACCTGATTTGTTTTAGGCCTTGTGGAAAAACTCCATTTAAATGCTTCACTCATGTATCTTATGTATATTTTTGTAAATGGATAAATGCATTTTTTAGAAATGTATTGGTTACCTGTGTTAAAAATTTTTTTATTCTTTTGTGGGGGGGGGGGGGCACACGGGTTTGTGGCCCATTTTTTAAGCATTCACTGGGCAAGAGGGTTAAACGAGTTTATCGTAACAAAGTTTAACCGTAATGCCGGGGTGCCAGGTTCAATCCCAGCTGCAGGTCATGCGCCTTGTGTTGGTTTCGACAGTGGTATCAGGGGGCCGACCGCCCAGAAAGCAGTGGCAAACTACTGGAGGTAAATTTGCCTAGAGAAACCACACAACAGCCGGTGGCTGCTGGGGTTGGTTCTGCAACGTCCTGTAAAAGATACGCAACTAACCTTAGCCTTATATGACCCATTTGATGTGACTGCCAAGATTAGGATCATGGCCAGCCAGCAGGTTATATGGAAGCTGCTGAGATATGGTTCTGTATAAGTATAAACTTGTACATATACAGAAACACATCTCAGCACCATGATTATTTAGGATAATGTCTGCAGCAGTAAACCTCAAGGGCTTGGAATGCTGAAGAAGAAGGGGAAAAAATAACACCATGAATAGATGTTTGAAAAAGTATAATAAAGATATCTTGAAAGAAATTAACTGTCAAAGGGAAACTGTTTCCCGCATCAGTAAAAGTCTATACATATTCATTAAGTGCATCATGGAAAAATTTGAAAACTTGAGTACATTTTGATGATAGAAAGCAGGAGGGAACAATAAGCTTAAGGAGATCAAGAAAAAAAAAAGAAGTTAATATGTAGGAAAAATACTTATCAGTACTTGATGCAAAAGGTAGTAAACAAACCAGTGCCACTTTGCATGGACTAGAAAATGAAACCAACATTTCACAAGTCATGTATATTTATATAAAGTCTGAATATTTGTGATGTATTTTTGATGGTATGTTGAGTATTTCAGTATATATAGTAATATTTTTTAACATAATATTCACTTGAACAAAGAAGTCACAAGCAAAAGCATTTACAGTTTATTGCCTAGTATACGTTGCTGTATCTTTTTAGGTGCTCACTGCAGTAACAGTTGAAAACAATGAAGAAGATAAATGAATTTGTGGAACTAAATTATAAAAAAAAATAAAGACTTTTAATGTTGCATTTATGGGCCAAACTGATTGACGATTAGAGAAACAAGTTGCTGAGCATATTCCACTGTGCATTTTAAAAGCAGTGCAAAATAAAAATAAAACAACAACATTAAAAAAAATATTTCAAGAAACATGACTCAGATGGCCGGTCAAATAGATCCACCCCCCCCCCCCCCCCCCCCCGCCCATCCTACAAACCCTTTTGAACTCTGGCCATATTGTAAAAAAGGATGATACATTCTGAGATTCTGTATGTTTTGACCAGTCAAAAAAGTTCTACTCTTTGTTGAAGCTGCAACAGTAAATTGCTTACATCCAGATTTGTGCAGGCAAAATGACCTGGTTGTGAACCTGTTTTTGCCCTAATAAAACAGTCAGTTACTTTTGAATATTGCTGATTTTGATCTCATTTAGGATTCATTTATCTGCTTCATTGTATTCAGCTGTAATCGTAGTATGCACCTGATGAAATACCGCAAAATATGCCAGGAAATAAATTGTGCAATCTGTTATATTTTCTTTGTTCAGATTTACAATGGGGAAACATTTGCTTTGATAATATTCACTGTTCATTCTCGCCAGCTTTTCCTGCACTGGAGACACCTAGAATGACATCAAGAACTCTGCGATTCCCAGTGGACCACACTTATCCTCGTCTATCATGGGTGGAATCTATGGACACATATGAGGGCACAAAACTTGGCATGATTGATCTCCATCCTGATGTGTTTGCCATATACCCAAGGCAGGTGCCACTGTCTCAATTTACACTTTTACTTTTCTCTTCTGGTTTTTTTTAAAATGAAAGACTATTTGATTGCACAAGAGTATTTTTCACAATAGACTCATTCCTTGCAGTGTTATTGTTTGTAGCTACAAAAGTCCTAATTTCAGTAACCATAAACAAGCTTCGTTGGCTTTTCTTAAAGTTTTTCTGTTAATTAATGTGTAAAATGTTTTGATGCACGTTTTGATGTGGTTTATAGCTGAGCTATGATATCTGTACCTTTCAGCCCAGCACGTCCTAATTCTAGTCAACCCCTAATTAGCCACTTTTAAGTCACACGGTGGGTTTTTCACACCCCCCCCCCCCAGAAGAGACCACAGAAATCATTACAATGCACAGTAGGTTCCCCCCCCCCCCCAACTCTCCAAAGGAGGCCACAGAAATCATTACAATGCACAGTGGGTCTCCCCCTTCCCCACCCAACCCCCTAAAGAAGGAGGCCACAGAAATCATTACAATGCACAGTGGGTTTCCCCCCCCCCCCCCAACCCCCTAAAGGAGGCCACATAAATCATTACAATGCACAGTAGGTTCCCCCAACTCCCCAAAGGAGGCCACAGAAATCATTACAATGCACAGTGGGTCTCCCCCTTCCCCACCCAACCCCCTAAAGAAGGAGGCCACAGAAATCATTACAATGCACAGTGGGTTCCCCCCCCCCAACCCCCTAAAGGAGGCCACATAAATCATTACAATGCACAGTAGGTTCCCCCCCCCCCCCAACTCCCCAAAGGAGGCCACAGAAATCATTACAATGCACAATGGGTCTCCCCCTTCCCCACCCAACCCCCTAAAGAAGGAGGCCACAGAAATCATTACAATGCACAGTAGGTCCCCCCCCCCCCCCCCCCAACTCCCCAAAGGAGGTCACAGAAATCATTACAATGCACAATGGGTCTCCCCCTTCCCCACCCAACCCCCTAAAGAAGGAGGCCACATAAATCATTACAATGCACAATGGGTCTCCCCCTTCCCCACCCAACCCCCTAAAGGAGGCCACAGAAATCATTACAATGCACAGTGACCCCCCGACCCCCACCAATCCCCATAAGGAGGCCAAAGAAATTACAATGCAGAGGGGGTTTATCCCCCCCCCCCCCCCCTTTTTTTTCCCCCCACAGAAACCACATTTATGTATATAAAATGTAATAGCAGGTCTTACTTGCTATTGATGTTTTTTCGTCATGCTTGCAGGATTGATGTGCTGCATAAAAACGTCCATTGGCAGAAGATGTACAGACATATTGTAAGTGTTAATCGGTGTATCTTTGTAATTAAAATATATAAAATATTTTAATATTATAATTATAGTTGTTTTTTCTTCTGCTTTCATCCAATTTTGTATTTGCTTTATGCACATTTACAGCATGGCTGCCGTTTTTGTTCTTTTCGGCCGACACATCCAACTTCTGCAGGGATTTGTTGACACAGTTAGGCTTTTCCAGTTATTATAGTTGTATGAGGTTGAATATTTGTTCTTCATTTGCAGTGCCAATATATGTAGGTGGTCCATGATTCACCATCTCATATGATGACCAGAATCACAAGTCATGTCAATGTTTCTGTCCTGGTCAGGCCATGTGGCCAAGTCATCTGGGTGTTTTTTTTTTTAAATCTATTTTCCTCCTTGCTCTTTTCCCAGCAAGTTTGCCGGTTGTTGCCAAGTTTTACAGTTTATTTCATCTCATTAGGTGTCCAGAAAATACTGACTGTTTATTTCTTAGAGTGCCTTGAAATGACCTTGCCGCAAAAGCTACTTTTTGTGTTGATTTGTTTATGGTTGGTTATCTGTCCGGTAAAGCCTTGGATTGACCTTGCCGCAAAAGTTTCTTTTTATTTTGATCTGTTTATGATTATCTGTGCTGTAATATTTTAACATCTGCTTTTTTCATCGCTTTTCTTCTTCTTCTTCACGTTCACAAGCTGTAAACTCTGGCAGAAAGTTCAAGTTCTTTGTCCACTTCAAGGCTTTAGTTTTGTTCCAGAACTTCAGTTTTGGTGCACATTATTTTGCCAATCTGGCTTATTTGTATGCAGTGTTTTGTGTGTGTTTAGAATCTGTGTTCTGTCATCTTGATTGTTTTCATTGTCCAGCTGTTCATATCTAATTTTCTATTATCTGTACATGGTTGACACAATATTTTAGCATAACGTGAGAAAGGGAAAACTGGAACGCATCTTGATAACAGAAATGGAAGCAGCAACAGACGAAGACGACCCCGCCACCGACCCAAAATGTAATTTTAGCAAATTTGGCATCATGAAAGAAACTATAACAGAAATTATTGACAGTACATGAGACAAAAGGCTTTTGATAGACATGAGATTCCCAACACCTCACAGAGAGTGGACTGTAGGAAGAAGATGAAATGTTCACACATTCTGTGGGCACTTCATGAGGAGAATGTTTTAACAGCTGAAAGGTTCAAGGGAGAGGCAGGCAAAAGGGAATAAAAAGAGATGTTGGACAATTTGACATCATGTTGTGGGGGAACAACCTGTATCAGATTATAGTTGACAGTTTAGGCAGTGGACAGATGATTACCAGTGCTACATGGTGTGTGCTAAACAAAGGGTTACATTAGAATCTTCAGATTTGAATTTAACGTTCCCCATTTTGGGGGACAAAATACCCCCCCCCCCCCCCCCCCCCCTTTTCAGGAAAAAAAGATGACTAATCAAGGGTGTTCCTTTTAAAGGTGGAGTGTATCTGTTTGAGAGATGTGGGACTGACAGTCTGCATACAAATAAAACAATCACTGGTATATGTGTGTCTCTTATGTTTTAGTAAAAACATCTAGATATTAACATTGGCACAGACACTTGGGAGAGATCAGCTGCAGACCGACTCCTTTGGAGGCAGACAGAGGGAGAAAGACTGTTGCAGTTTGAAAGAGGCCATATGCAGCAAGCTATTGAAAGGAGACATCTGAGGGAAAACCAGCCTCAGAATTATAGCATATCTATGTTTTATGTATACTATGTGGCAGAGACTTTCACTCCTGGCAGAGACTTTCAATCCTGCATTGGACTTTACAGTCATAGCAGATGCTGTTGCCAAAACCAGCTGCAAACTCCATGGTCCCCAGGGACTGATGATCACCTGCTACAATTTCTAGAATATTCTGGGAAGGAAAGGTGATCAGGAAGGAAGCTGGCGACCCTAACAACAGTTTCTACATTTGGACTATGTTAAAAAAAAAAGTCATCCGCACATGTAATCTAAATTGTTTTGCCTACTTGACAGGATTACAACTTTGAGCCGTCACGAGCTGAAATGCCAGGAGGTGGCAGAAAGCCCTGGCCTCAGAAAGGTACAGGCAGGGCTCGACATGGCAGCTGCAGATCACCATTATGGATTCAAGGTTAGTTTGTTCTGTTATGAAAGTTTAGCTAGCTAGCAGTTACTAGATAAACTTGGACATTGGACTTTGTTTTCAAAAGCATTTTGCAAAATTGCTTTGTTATACTGTGTTGTTTCCAAAATTTTAGCCCTTTCGCCCAGTGAATGCTAAAGAGGGCGGGGGGATGAGTGTTGTAAGCCCACGAGAATCCCTCCTTTTGCCCAGTGAATGCTAAAACAGATTAGGGGTGTCATAAATCCGCAAGAAACCCCCCTCCCCCCCCCCCCCCCCCCCCCCCCCCCCTTTTCCAATTTCTTTAAAAAGTACATTTTTACACAGGGCACTAATACATTTATTTATCTGCATTAAAATTTTTCTTTCGGAGATATATAAAGATATTAATCAATAAACATGAACAGTTTGAGAATGGAGGTGGAGGCAGTCACTGCTGCCTTGAGAATCAGCTGTACACACATGTCGTCATTGTAACTGACTCACAGAGCATGCTGAGAAAGGTGGAGACAGGCATGCTCCGTGCAGAGTAGCAGGCATCACTTCAGAGGTCCTGGGTAGTTAGCATCCTTTGGATATTTTCTCCAGGTTATGCCGGTGTGTTAGGAAATGAGCAAGCAGATAGACTGGCCGGTTCTGCACCACTTTGTGGTGAACTGATATTTGACAAGCTGGATGTTGTGAGGGCCCTTTGGGAGCGGGTGATCAGTGCCGAGGAACAGATAGATCATTACGGTCTGAGGAGAATGGCACTGCGAGGGGTTACAAGGGGATCTGGCCGACGCTCGACACTCAGGGGAAAGGCGAGACAGATATACAATCAGACAGTTACTGGTACCATCTGAATTTTAACTCTTCGCTTGCTGCTGAAGGTGGGGACGGAGAGCTTATAGGGGTGTCCCGAGTGCTGTGATGTCGATTCTAAATTCAACATAAACAGGGTGAAGCATTAAATGAAATACATTCCCCCTGGGTCTAATGAAATGTGTTTCTGGTGACTCCTGCTTTGACCTCTTTTCCTGAGGCTACTGGAAAAATCTAATGTCAACATGATTTTTTAAAAAGCTATTTGGTTCATATTCATATCCTAACCTGAAAGCTGCACAGGCACACGCAGCCAATAGCGTTAAATGTGCATCTCGTAAACATCCTCTTTTATAATGAGGTAAGTCAGGATCCTTTTTTTCCCCCCCACAGTAACCAAGATAACTCATGATCTCTTTCAAAATAGTCAAGTATTTCATGATCCAATTTATAATTGCATTTTTATATTTTGATCCTTTTTATATAAGTCAATTATTTCATAATTACTTTTATGAATCACCTTTCTCTCATATCTGGACCTGTACCACATGAGTCCTTCTTCGTGCTAATGAGTTGGGTGCTTGGTGTAACACTGAGCTGTAGGTTTAATATGAAACCTGGTTTACAAACTACTCTCTGAACTAGGCAACCCGTGTAAGTTAGCTATGCACTGGATACCATTTTGCTGTTGAGTTCCCAGAAATGAAAGAGCTGATAAACTAGCTAACGAAGGTGCAAATGAAGAACAACCTGACGTACCAGTCTCTTTTGAACAGAAGAAGAGAATAATCAAATCAATCAGAAAGCCACCAAACTGGCAGACGACAATTACCATATAATGGACAGACTTGAGCAAATCAATATTCTACGCCCTAGAACAGGACACAGTCGACTTCGCAGCCGCATGTACACAAAATTTAAGATTGGCAAATCAGCCTTGTGTACATGTGGACTGGCACCTGAGACAACAGATCTTGTCCTCCAAGACTGTCCCAGATACAACATATTAAGGCAACACTTTTGGCCAAGAGAAACACCGGTACAAGCACAATTTTAAGGGTCACTGAGTGAATTAAAATAGACAGTGAAGTTCATACTAGAGGCAACATTGCAGATATAGATGATCTATTTCAAGCGAACGAAAGAAGAAGAAAAAAAGAACATGAATTTATCTTCTGTGTGTGCGCACTGTAGTTTGTGTTATTAGCTGCTCATTTGTGCTATTGAGCGTGGCCAGGCGGGTTGCTGATTTTGTCATGGCTGTTGCTTCCTTCACCAGTGAATTCCAGTTTAAGTGGCAGACTGTTGGCATTAGCAATTGGGCAGCTATCTTATACGTTTAGTGTTTGCTCATGCTGCAGATCTTTTCATGACTAGTCTTGTTTTACTTTTTACATTATGATGAGTATTGTGTGGGATTTTTGCTGGCACATATAAGAAGCAGTTATGAGGTAATGCATTTGCTGTGAGGATAGAACCGAGACTAATGACTAACTTCTCTTTAATTATTCTGTTTCAGGTGCCAAAGCTCATGGTCCTCGAGGCCCCAAAAGCTATTTTTACATGCTATCCCGATATGATAGAGCCCTCGGTCTTAGGGCAGCTCTGTCTTGTAAATATGCACAGGTAATCCATTTTTAAACACCTTACCATTCAGTGTTTCTCAAACTGTGTCAAACACCGTACCATTCAGTGTTTCTCAAACTGAGCTAAGAGGCATGAAATTGGAGTGCATCTGCCTGAGAGGCGAGGATCTATCAGCCTGCATGCAAATAGGCCAGATTTATAAAATAATTGTGCATTGAAAACTCAAGTTCTAGAACAAGACCAAACTCCAGAAGTGGACGAACAACCAGAACTCTCTGTCAGAGTTTACAGTCGTTAAAAAGGAAGAAGAATAAGAGTAAGTCTCATAATGTGTACAACTAGGACAAGATAGAGAGAGAATGCACATTGGAGATCCGTTGCTCCCAATTTTTATTGTAGAGATTAGAGGATTGATAATAACTCTAATGATAGGCTGTGGAATTAATTGAAATCGGACTAGCATTACATGTATTTTGTTGTGCCTAATTCAGCCAGGATTTTTCTGTACTACTATTGTGTTACCATTGCCAAACCTAGGCATTCACAGAAGAGCATGAGTGGAAACTAATGATGTGTGAAATAAGATGTTTGAGAAAAACAGTCAAAATAACAAGAAAACAAATAACATAAACAAAGATATCATTAGAATGGTGGAAACAACACCTGCAATTAGATTTTTTGAAAAATAAAGACTAAAATGGTTTGGCCACCTGGTCAGAATAAACCTATACAATGTGAGAATTGAAACATCAAGACCCAGAGGAAGGCCAAGAAGAATATGGATAGATGGAATTAACAACTTGCTGATACTCAACATATCACCATGCAGCAAGCTAAGGCGCATGCACTATCTCGGAAACTGATCATTAGCCATGCCTGCGACTCCTAACAGCTTTAAGCAGAGAAAGACAATAGAAAGACAGAATATAGTGGAAAAGTCACACTGTTTATTTAGTGAGTGCAAGTAATTGACCATTTTAAATGACTTAATTTGATATCTTTATATCTGATTTCTCTTGTTTTTTTACTCAACAGAATGACCTGGTCATTGTTGACTCCTTTGATATACCCACTTCAGAGCCTGAGGTAAGTTGAAACAAATGAGGGCTGGTTTTTGGCATCACCATCAGCGTCTTCCACTGTTACAGTGAAGTGTTAAATTCTAGTGAGGAGGAATACTTCATGGTCTAGCGCTTGATGGACTGTGCTGACATAAAGAAAACATGGGGGAGGGGGCATTTAAGTGGGAAAGAATAATAATTATTATAGTTGTTATCACCTTTCCTGGGGAGTAAAGGTGGTCAGCGTGACGTCACCCACCAAGAGCTGATTGATTGGTCTACAAAATATAGGTCTAGCCCTATATGCCCAATACACCTGAAGGTGTGGAAAATGGTCCTTTACCTACCTTTTTTCCAACTGTAGGTGTTATTATGTGCTTAGTGGCTAATGCATATAATAATGTATTAAATATACAGACAGACAGATACTTAAAAAGACAGTCTATGCATTGCTAATTAAACTACTTAACCCCCTTGCAAATTTTATAGGGGAAGGAGCTCAAGTTCACCCTACCTTTCAGAAATAGGGGGTGGGGGTTGCTCAGTATACCTGAGCCCTTCGATTCTGGCACCCCTGGCTGATGCTCACTGCCATTTTCCATGGATGCATGTCCTCAGTCCATTTTCTTCTGAGACGATCTGCACCTTTGAGACATTTTCTGCAGAACACTGAACATCATTGAGTATGCCTGTTATACTGTGATGTTGATTCTGAAATCATTTGTCTTCTAATGTGTCCTCTTTTTAGATATTTTTAAATGAAGTTCTTTTGACCTGGTAGCCGCTGTTGGTGCATTGTAGCAAATTGCATACACTTTTCAACATCTGTTTTTTGTGTGTGTGCGCACAATCTTATCTGATAATAAAAAAAATAATAGCAGCAACATGAAGATGGGCACAGGATATAAGTGACTTTTTGCATTTGAAAGTACACGAGGCAGGAGAGCTGGCAAAAGACTGAGTTTCTTTCAGACAGACTGTGATGAGAACGAGGTTCTGCAAAGGATCTGCTCCATAATAACTTATCTGATAGTGTCGTTCCTTCCCCATGTAGATTCTAGAGTCCCATTTTGGGAGACCTGAGAATAATCCCACTGCTAATGGATGACAGAGAGATAAATAACTGGATGTCTTGGATGAAACAAGTACACTGACCTGATCCATGATTCTTGGGAACTATGAACACCTGTGCTGAAAGCCATGCCACATAATAATGAAATTTTTGTCATAAATACACTGACATACTGACCTTATATAGAAAATACACACACTTTGAACAGGTAAGGAGCAACCAGTGACTTCTAGGGTAATCAGTTTGACCTGAAAGATATTGTCAATGATTTGATTGATTTTTGTATAGTTTTATGTATTAAATGATTTGATTGATTTTTGTATAGTTTTATGTATTAAATGATTTGATTGATTTTTGTATAGTTTTATGTATTAAATATTCTTAAAAAGGTCTGGTACACAATCATCCATTTTAAATTAGTTCTTATAGGGAAAAAAATGTTTAAAAAAATCTAATTAGTTTCTAAAGTCCCCTGTGTGGGTTCCAGGGCCCTATTATAGGGAAAACAAGAATAGACCCACTGCCTACCCAAAAGCATGTCGTAAGAGTCGACTAATTGGGAGCTTCTTTCAAAGTCGGAGTGCATCTGCCTGATAGGCAAGGAACCACCAGTCTGCACACAAATGAGTCGGATCTGTCAAACGGATGCACACGCAACACTCAGGTTCTGGAACAGGACTGCAGTCCAGAAGTGGACGGACAACCAGAACTTTCCGCCGGAGTTTTACAGCTAGTGAGCGCAAAGAAGAAGAAGAAGTTTCTAAAGTCTTTTAACAACAAATTGTTCAGCAACCAAGATTCCATGCTTTCTCTCATACTCTGTCTATGTTTCTGTCTTTCATTCTGCCTCTGCCTGTTTCTCACTGTGTGTATGTGTGTGCATGAGAGGGAGAGATTTTGAATAGAGAGATTTGCATATACAGGCCTTACATTGTAAGGTTCTGCCATTTGTTGAATCTGTGACATTGAAAATATATGTTAGTTAATCGACAGGTTATCCTCATCACACATCTAACAATTATATGTTTTGTATATATGTAATATGTGTTATTAAATTTTAAACAAAATGAGACATAGTGTGTTATTAAAATGTAAACACAATGAGAAATAAAACATTAAAAAAATTTAACAGTGTCAGATGGATTTAAATCCTATTAATTTTATCTCTTTTTACTTCATAGTATCTGCAGGAGCTAACTGATGTCCGATTCTGGGGTTATTCAGTCTTGTTTGTTGATGAGTGAGTATATATATTGTCAAGAGAAATTCTCCATATTTTCGGTGTGATCTTTTATAAATATATATATATTTGGAGGGGAGAGGGGGCTTGGGATAAAAATAATTGTAATAGTCAAAATATAGTACAGTAGAGACTGCTTAAGTCAAACTCTGATAAGACAATTTTCGAGAAAAAGCCCCGATAAGTTGAATTCTGTTAACTCAAATATTTGGATTTGTCTAACCCAAGAGTAAAAACGTGACTGTATACGCGTTATGTTTAAGTCTGACTGTTCTTGTTAATTATTACATGCCGCTCTTTATAAGCATGAAAAGGGAGCTGTATAATAAATGGAAATATTGCAACCCGTGGATACATGGGGACAGCCAGACACGGGGCTGGAGTGGTCGCCTCGCCAGCAGTTGCTTCTAGGTTCACATTCGAAGGAGGTGGGGAAAGGCAAAGTGATGTTACTTAGATATCCCATGTTTGGTGATCAGCATTCTAGCTTCCCTAATATCTTACCCTTGTCTGCTCTTTCTCCTTCCCTCTTTCACTCTTCTACTTCTCTTATGACATCTCATTTCTTTCCCTCCCTCTTTCCTCTCTCTGTTCTCTCTCTCTTCTCCCTCCTGCCACTCTCTGTTTCTTCTTCCTTTTTCCTCTCTATCCCTCTCGTCTGCTGTCTTCATCTCCTCCCCTGAGTCTTCCTCACGCTCTCTTTCTTCTTCCTTTCCTCTATATTTTTATCTTCGAACCCTTTTTCTGGTTTACTAAATTTACTGCCCCATAACTGTTTTTTTTACTAAATTCATAATCTGTTTAAATCACCACTGATCACTGGCAGCATGAGAGCTAATAGACTGAAATGGTTGGGGCATATTGAAAGAATGTCAGATGACAGAGAAGTAACAACTGTTTACACAAGAGAGATGAATGGTCATAGACCACAAGGCAGACCAAGAAGAAGATGGAGAGATAATGTCCAGACAGACCTGAAAACACTTGATGTCACCAACTGGAAAGAGAAGGCCAACCAGAGAGATGAATGGAGGCGAGTGATATCTGCAATGAACCTCAAGGGCTCTGAATGTTGAAGAAGAAAAAGAAGATAGCTGTCTTTTCCCTGTGGTTGTGTCTAGTACACAAGATTTTGTGTTATGGTTGGGGGGGGGGGGGAATGGAATGGGGTTTTATTGTAAGACTGATGGTTTTTTTCTGTAATGTTTTATTTGGATTTTCTGTTTTTTCCCCTTCTGATGTGTTGTCATATTTGTTAGCAGCCCTGACTTTTGAACTGACGATTAAATATTTCAACATTTCTGATAATGTATTGCTATTTGTTTAACTAAGTGGTACAGTTTTACTCAATGCCACTGCATCATACTAATGTACACTCACTACTACTATATGTGCTATCCGGATAAGTAGAGGTCAAACAATTTCCTTAGGTCGCTATACCTTCTACTTATCCAGACTTGACTGCACACTGTTGGTGAAAGTATTTTCAATTGATGCTATTTAAAATTGAAAGTTAAGATGATCAGAACAAGGTTTTGTTCCATATGGCCTCTCTCTCTCTCTCTGCAGAACTGCAGGCCACTTGCTAGGAACATCTCACACTAAAAAAAAACCAGAAGTGATTATCAATAATGTAATAAGAGAAAAGTCAGGACAGAACCGATTCTAAATTACATACTAAGACAGCAGATCTAGTTGTCTGCATGAAAGCCTTATGATGCCATACTATACAAGGCATACACCAAATGAGGAAAGGAGCATTGACCATGAGGTGAACCAAAAAGAATATGGAAAGATATCATCAGATAAACTCTACAACAGCACAATGTGTTTCTGTTGTCTGTGGTTGAAGTAACCAGAAGAGGAAAAATAACTTTATGTCTCCTTTGACATCTGAAGTCTAAAGCAGGAAATAAAGAGGAAGATTCTATGAGACAAAGGAATCTGGTGGGTTATAACAGATATGAAGATTACAGCTAGAGATAGAAGAAGAAATCACTCCTTGGGTTGATAGAGTGCCACAGAATATGCCACTGCCGCAAAGGACTTTACATTCATAGCAGACGCTTTTCCTAAAACCAGCAGCACATCTTAGGATTGGACGATTTCTCCAGTTATTCATTATTTGTTGTTCTTTTATCTTCTACACTGCCGTTTTATTTTTCTTCATAATTGGAGGACAATTATGACTAACTTGTCCTTTCTCTATGCAGCACTGATGTCATGCCAGAGAATATTGCTGTTTCTGTGAGTCAGATACGTGGCTTCAACATTTTGCCAGCTTATGGTAAGAAAATCAGATTCGTCCTTGTAAATGTATTGTTGCAGATATGAAGTTTAATCTTGTTGGCAGAGAAAACAGGCTTCCTGACTTTAACAGGTTTTTGCTGACATGACACATGACATTTTTTTGGGCAGTGGCCAAAATGCCTGTGTAACAACTTTAGTACTTGTTGCAACTTCATAGTGTGTAAACATGATAAGTAAAAAAGTAATCTTTTCCACGCCATTAGGCATATAGGGCTAGACCTATATTTTTATAGACCAATCGGCACAAGATGGGTGATGTGGTCAGCATCACACCGGCCGCTTTTACTTCCCGGGACTGCACCCGTACCCACTCAAGGCTGGGTCGACCTGGGAGCCAAGCTCATTGTAGACATGGTGGGTGTGATTATATTTACACCCCCCCCCCCCCCTTTTTCCCCCTTAGTGTTTGAGATATGTTTTGGGTGAATGAATTGATTTTGTTCTCTCACTGTGGCATCATAATAAACATGATGGCATCACTTTGCTCTCCTGTTGCTATGTCAACCAACACCATTTTTTCTTGGTTAAAGAGAAGACAAGCGGTTATTTCTTTGCTCTATTTGGATTTAGTGATTACCTACCTTCATATAAAAAAAAAACATGAAGAAATCCTTCTTTTTTAGTGGCTCAGGGGGCTGCGATGCCCCAATAGCTAATAGGCTTGCCTGCCTGTTTGGTGTCATAAGTTTCAGCCCTTTTGATTTGTATGAAAACTGATTAATACTCCAAAATCCAAGCTTGTCACTGAGAGCCTATTTGTTTCCGATTTCAGTGCATGGTTGAGGATTCTCTGTTTCACGTCATGATATGCCCAATATAGCGCCATCCTTTTTGTCTTATTATGATTGTTGGTGCCAGCGGTTGACCTGGCATCTCTCTACTTTCTCGCCTTTCTTGAATTCATCTCACTTTATGCACATTTCCTCAGCCATTTGTTTTTAAATGTGTAAAACTGTCATTCCATGTCTTTAGCATCTCTCCAACCTTTACTAGTTTATGTTAAAAACTGAAATACAGTGGTACCTCAGTATATTTACTTAAACCGTTACTGATCCTTGTACGTGTACCAAACGGTAGATATGCCAAACTTATTTTCCCATAAGAAATAAATGGAGGATAAATCTGTTCCCATTTTTAAAAAGAATCTTGTTGACAGGGTTGCATAAAATAATTTATATATTGCCTTATTGTAAATAAATCGATTACATGAAATAAGTGAAAGTTCAACTTTGCTTTACCTTACTGAGAAGAGTCTAGTGCCTGCTAGGAAGGTACGGATGTGACTAATTTTGTACTCATCATCATGTAGCAGGTCCTTTGCAGAACGTCGCTCTCATCAGTCTGCCTGAAAGAAACTTGGTCTCTCGCCAGTTCTCCCGCCTCATGTACTTTCATACTCAAGGAGTCAAGGAGTCACTTATATCCTGTGCCCATCTTTGTGTCGGTCGCGCCCTCCCCCCTCCCCCCCCACCTCCTTCCTGGTACCATGCCTTCTGCTATAATTATTTCCAATCCGTCGCGCTTGATTTTTACTCATGCAAGTTCACATTCCAAACATTCGTTTTTGCATCTAAACAGAATGTATACCAAATTGAGCGTATACCAAAGCGAATGTATACATGTATTAGAATTTAAAATATGTAATTTGGTTTGAAAATTATATAATCAAGAGTTGCATATTTTAAAAAAATTTGATATGCAATTAATCATTTGTTTGTTTGTTAATACCATAAACCACAGGTCTCAATGTGTTTTCAATGCTGAAACATGAAACTCTGGTGTTAACACTGGCAGCCTTGGAGAGAATTGAAGGCAAGCTGCTGGATGAAGTTCACACAACGCACCGTCAAGAGAAGTTTGTCAACACACTGAGGCCAGAAGATTTCCGAAAACACCCAAAGCAAGATACTACAATGCTGAAGAGTTTTAGTGCCCCAATAGGCAACAATTAAAATGTTTTGTAATAGGCCATGTTTTTGTCATTATTTAATTAATAAAAATGGACTGTCCACTTAGAGAGAATGCTTTGTGAGCCTTACAGTACACTAAAATGAAGGATATAGAGCTCTTGGTTCAAGAACAAGACCAAGATTACAGCAGAGAAACTAAAAGATACAAATTATCTATGATTGAGGCAGCCAGAAGTGTAAGAACTAGAAACCTTTATCTCCCTCAGCACCCAATGGTGGAACAAGAAGAGTGAGTGAGTTATGAAAGCATAGAATTGTCATAATATCAGAATGTTTGAATGTATTCCAAAACAAAGTTAGACTGCAGTAAAAATGAAATTCTTTAAAAAAATATGTTTCCAGTTTTTGTTTAGTTTTTTGGTGTGCATACAGTAGTACTTTTATTTGTATTTTTAAAAGGAAGCCCTAGGTCTGGCTTAAAATGCATAGAGTTGACATATGACATACAAAAGAACCAGTAACATGTTTTATATTAAAATACATTGCTATCAGTGAAATGAAAGGCAAATGATGCACAAGGAAATCATTTAGTAAATGTAGTTTTGAATATCTTGTGGGAACGACATCCAGTCAACTGTAACCTTATGCCTCTATTTGTAAAGGCTGGTTATTGAGCCAGCGGAGGACCAAGATTCAGATGAGTGGGGTCTATCAAAGGTATGGAAAGTAAAAAAGTAAAGGTCCCTTTTCCACATCTTTAGGCCCATAGGGCTAGACCTTTATTTTTTATAGACCAATCGGCACAAGATAGGTGATGTGGTCAGTATCATGCTGGTCGTCTTTACTTCCCGGGATTGCATCAGGTACCCACTCGAGGTTGGGTCAACCTGGGATTCAAGATCATTTTTGAAAAAAGTCCAGCTCCGCCCGCCAGGGAGCGAACCCATGATGACTCCCCAAAAGTATAGAAAGCATGAGTTTTAATATTTTTGGCAACTTTCATTTTCATATGATAGTGTTATTTTATACTGTGCTGTGAGAAGGCATGGGACTCACAAACGATGGCGAGTGTGACCAGCCAAACCTGCATTAAGAAGTTTTCCACCTTATATAGCATGAGATTTCTGGACCTTTGTTGCCATCATTTATATTAGGTGTGTTTCTACTCTGATTCTCATTCGCTTCCTGATTTGTCCCCTCCTTGCAACACGGTCTATGGCCTTTCATTCCCATGGATCCACAAAAGTTGTGTAATATAACCAGGTTATTATTGAGGTGTGAAGTGTTAGACTGAAGATGAAAATTTAAAACAAGTTCAACACTTTGAATACTTGGAGGTTTTGTAACACGCGGCTATCCAGGTTATAGAGACAACCCTTTTCCCCCCCCCCCCCCCCCCAAAAAAAAAAAATTATTAAATACAATGCAGTCTTCATACCACCCTTGTGCTGTCAGTTTCAGACTTGGAAATTGACTAAAGAAAACTGACCACCTAGGAAATTAGATTTTTATACTACAACAATACTCAATATATTCATTGCAAAACAAAACAGACTGAAAATGGTTTGGCCATTTAGTGTGAATGAATTCAATGATGCCAGCAATGAGAGCATTTAACATGAAAGTAGAAATATCAGGAAGAAGAAGATAGACTGAAGTAGTCACCGATTCCCTGAGACTTCACATTACCAAACATACAGGGCAACTGAGTGTGCCCTTGCTTGGAGACTGATAATCTGTTAACCTGCAACCCCCTAGTGGCATAAAGCAGAGTATGCATAAAACAGATGTGGTAGCCAGTTCTTTTCCATATTACCTTTTTTTCACAGAACATTTTTGGAGCCGTTTTAAAGCCATGTTGACGTTTAGTTTCCTGGTAGCCTCAGGCAGGGTTCGTAGTGGACCGGGAAATCGGGAAATTACCGGGATTTTTTTCGTTGACCTTAAAACCGGGATTTTTAGCTTATAAAAGATATTCCGACCTTGAAAAGCCGTGAATTTTGACCGCGGCAATGAAATCGTCAGAAATCCTGTGTTTTTCAAGCACAGGCAATTTTGGGGGAGCCATTTGGCTTTTTTGGCCATTTGGCTAGTTTTTGGCTACTTTCATTGTATGGTCGTTTCAGGTGTGAGGGCAGCTGATTATTGGCTATTTTCAGCCGAAATGGCTTGTTAAAGGCCAGGGGAGGGCGGGCTTTGTTACAGATCATGAATACATGCAGACAGCAGCAGTGTGGCATGAGGCGGGAAGGAGCAGCTTCCTTCTCGCGTGTGTGTGTGTGTGTGTGTGCCTTTGTTTCTAGCAAGTCGGGCAGAATGAACAGTTTAAATCGTTTATGGCCGTGGTTTCTAGAAAGGATTACATTGGGAGATGGTGGGGCTTGGTTCAGTTGTATTTATAAATAGAGTCGCCGTGGTGGGGCTAAGCACGGCCTTCTCTATTAATTAGAGATGGCATTGGGGCTAAGAAAAGTGACTGCAGCTGGATTTCCCAGTTCTATTTTTGGCCTGGATTTATCTTTACAGTGTGTTTGGCGATCAGTATTGTAATTCCCCGAGATTCCCTCTTCTGTTGTCTCACTCCTCTCTCTCTCTCTTCCCTCCCTCTTTCACTCTTCTACCTATTGCTCCTTCCTTCCCGTCTCCTGCATTGTCTCTAACCCTCCCTTCTGATCTTCATCTTCTTCTCTTTCTCTCTATCTTTCCTTTTACTCTCCCATTTCCTGTCCCCCCTCCCCCTTTTTTCCTATTTTATTTCTTGTTTTAAATGTTAAGTAAATGTGCGGCTCCATAACTCTTCCTAGCAACTCAAGTACACAGGAAGTTGTATTGTGGGGGGGGGGGGGGGCATTCTGTGTGAACATGGTGGATATTTTCTTTTGATGTGTTTGTTTTCCTAGCGGCCTTAATCTCTGTCCATCTCCCTTCCCGCCCCCTCACATTTTGTCCTACCTGTTCCTCACTCTCTGCCTGTCTGTGTCACTGCTTTCTTCTTTCTTCTTTGTATTTGCCACTCTCCCTCACCCTCTCTCTCTCTCTCTCTCTCTCTCTCTCTCTCTCTCTCTCTCTCTTTCTTTCTCCATACCTTCAGTTGGTGTAGAAGGTTATGTGTTGCCTAGTGCAGAACATTTCATGTCCACCATTCCCCCTCCCACACATTAAATATATGTGTACTTTTAAAACACATTTGCCGTCACCCCCCCCCCCTTTTTTTTCTCCTCCCACATTGATGACACCTAGGGGAGGAGTGCACCCCTTCCTGCTACCTTCTTCCCTCTATATCTTATTTCTTACTCCCTGTCTCATTCCCACTTTATTTTCTTAAACTTTATTCTCTCACCTCCTCTGTCTCACCCTTACCACCTCAGCCTTCTACACCACTTTCCACCACCTCCTCTCTCCCCTCCTTTCTGTAATTGGAAAAACCAGAAATAAAACAAAGTCCACTGCTGCCCTGACCTATTTATGTGTGTGGGTAAACTTCTCTATTTTCCACCAGTGGTGGGTTGGGATCCCCTGGACTTTTATTTTCTTCATAAAATGACCTTGGCTCTCAGGTCACCAGCCTTAAGTGTAAGAAATTGAATTATTGTTGTCACACACAGATAGGACAAGCAAGGGGCAGTAGGGGTTAGCACTGTTGTTTTTGGACCACGGCCACATTCACATTGAGAGAGGGTACACTCATTGTTCTTACACCCCCCCCCCCCCCCCACCCACCCCCACAACCCGTGTCTTACCTTTCTTCTCTCACCCCTTCTCTTTCCTTTGATCTTCTTCTATTCTCCTTTCTCTCTCCATTCTTCCTCTCTTCCTTTCCTTGCCCTCTCTCCTGTCCCATCTCTTCTTTGTCTCCTCTCCATCCTGTCTTTTCATTTTCTCTAGATTTCCTTACCCGCTCCCCTCTCTCATTCTTCCCCCCCCCCCATCATTTTTTTTTTACTGGTTCATCTACGTATTTTTTTTGCCCCATAACTATCTTTTCCTAATGGTTGTGTCCACTACACTTGAAATTGTGTGTGTGTGTGGGGGGGGGAGTAGGTGGCTGTTTTTTTTCTTTGATGTATCTTGTCTCCCTTCCTGCCCCTCTCTCTTAATCTGTGTTTGTCACTGCCTTCCTTACCCACCTCTCTCTCTCTCTCTCTCTCTCTCTTGCTTTATGTCTGTTTGCCTCCCTTCATCACTTCCTCTTTGTATACCTCCCTCCCATTCTCCTGCTCTGCCTTTTTTCTCTTTCTTTGGTTCTCTCCCTCTGTCTGCTTGCCTCTCTGTGCTGTCCCTTTGTCTCTCTCTCCTTTATGTCTACATCTCTCTCTGCTTGCATCTGCTTCTCACCCTGTCCGTTCTCTCTCCCTCTGTCTCCCTTCTTTCAACTCTTTGTCATATTTTCCTCCTTCCATATCTCTATTTCGTTCTCTTTTTCCTTCTCTTTTCATCTGCCCATCTCTGTATCTGCATTCCCTCTTTCTGTATTTTTTTCCCTCTCTGTCTTTCGCTGTTCCTTCCCCACTTTTCCTCATCATGTCTCCATCCCTCCCTCTCATTTTTTCCTCCTTCCCCAGACTTCTTTTCCTTCTTTTCTCTACCTTCATCTGTCCATCTTTACACTGTCTCTCCCAGCCTACCTCAGCATGTGTCTTCCTCTCTCTTCATGACTCTCTCTCTCTCTCTCTCCCCTAACCCTCTCAGGTACCAGGTCCAGAACAGACAGGACTTCAGTTTGCTGCCCTCTACCACCAAGCCCTAAAAAAAATTTCAAACACTATATCAAGCTCAGGGGCCGACCAGCACGAAGATGGGCACAGGATATAAGTGACTCCTTGAGTATAAAAAAAGTACATGAGACGGGAGAGCTGGTGAGAGACCGAGGTTTTTTTGTCAGGACAAAGGAAATGCTACATGATGATGATATCTGTGCTGGTATACCAACACATGTGGCACAAATGAAGTACCTTGTCTGTCAGTACACCCTTGAACAAGTCAAAAATCTTGTTTCAGTATTACACCGAGACAACCTTGAAAAAAACTAAGGAGACCTTGAAAAAGACCTTGAAAAGCCTTGAAATTGATTGGTAAATTTGGCTATGAACCCTGCTCAGGGATACAGGTCCCGGGGAGAGTATTTTCACTCTGTTTATCAAACTGTTACACACAAACTACCAATCCACACAACACAAACAGATGCCGAAGATTATGCCAAAACATACGCACAATTGTTGCTTGTATAAAAATATTTAATACAGCATGAAATAAAACGTTTTTTTTTTGGTTGATTCTAGTGCAATACAACAGCAGTCTTTTTATCATTTTAATATAAAAATTGATAACATAATAAAAGATGGACGCTATCAAGCTTGCCATTAAATCCACCCATATATAATATATGGAGCCTGCAAAGTCCTGTAACTATATATGAAACCTGAAAAGGATTATTTTAGAAGATCATTATCTGAATACTGTCCGTTGCCTAGACTATATTTCCTATCAGTTTAAATTCTAGATGGATCTAGGAGGGCAAGTCTAAAACACACACACTAAAAACCAATTTTTTTTTTTTCAGAAAAGACGCATAAATCATTTCTTTTCAGTATAATATTCTGGCTTTTCAAATGCACTGTATCAAGAGCTTCATACTCCTTTAAAAAAATAAAAGGTTTTTTACCTTTAAAACTTCATTGGCTCCAGGGTCGGCCTAGGCTAAAATGGGTTCTGGGTGTCGTTCTGGGAAATAAATGCAGTCAGCGTGATGCTGATATCACTACGCATCAAATGCTGATTGATCTATAAAAATATGTCTAGCATTATATGCCTGATGTGCCACAGACATAAAATCAAGTCCTCTACTGAGGTGCGAGCTAAGGATGCACCGGTCTTCACTTCTTCAAGGTAAATCTTGATCCTCTTAGGATGAACGGAGCCAAACAGGTGAAAGTCTGATGCAGTGAAATCAAGAATATAGAAAGGATGCCTAAACATCTTAAAGAGAGGTTTTTACAGAATGTCAACAACATTTGTAGAGGTGGATTGTCTTGCAAGATCATAGCAGTCCTACACATTTAATCCAAACTGAGGTTTCAACCTTTTTTTTGGTAGACATCTCACTTTTTACTGCTGAATCTTTTTCTGCTTGTATTCTAACAGCCCTGAAGTAACACAGACACACCTGAACAGAAAGCACTGAAAACACAGTACAGCACACACAAATTAGCATTCTTTGGATATTTTCTTTGGGTCATGCAGGAGTGTTGGGAAATGAACAGTCAGGCAGTATGGCTGCTCCTATACCAATGGGTGGTGAATCTATGCATGACAAGCTAGATGTGATCAAGAAACTTTGGGAGCAAGTGAACAATGCAGAGAAGCACCAACAGATCACAATGGTCTGGAGAGAATGGTACTTCTAGAACTGACCAGGGGATCTGGTCAACACTACTACTGGCACTATCAAAACTGGACCTCTTCGCTGGCTGCTGAAGATAAGGACGGAGTGATATAATACTAGTTCTTAGCTCAACACATGTTTCAATATAACTGGGCTGAGGCTAATTTGTCAGTCACGTCCTAGAAACTAATAACAGATGATGGTATGATAAACAGACTAATGTACTGATTGGCGCCCATAGATGCAGATGAAATAAATAAATATGGGAGAACACACTAGATACAAAAATAGAAAGCTGTAGTACAAGTGATGGTATGCCCTGAACTTCCTTGTGTGGAAATGTTATTACCACATCTGCTTATTTACAATTTATTATGATTACATGGCTGTCTTCAACATTTGATAATTAAGCAGAACTGTGAGCTTTCAGACTATGCAAAAGTATAATGGCCAGACTCTAAACTTCGTGAAAGAAACCACATGGAGGCATTTCATAATTCTGGTTACACTTGCGGACAGCCCATCGCAGATCGTATCTAGGCTTCTCTGATGGGACTACGTATGTGTTTGGTACAAACATCTTATGAGAGGGCTGTAGAGAACAAAACCACATAAATTATAAAAAATATATATGTATATCAGTAATAAAAAGTTAAGGTTGTCATATGGCATTATATATAGATGGCGCATTCAGAAAAGAATGATCCACATTTAATAATGAAGATAGAAACACAAACTTTTGCAAAGTTTCAAATTTGAAATGTCAATATCCTATGTACAAAATGGCAACTCTTCCAACCAACCCAAAAAAAAAGAACATCTGCAGTAATACTTTCAAATAGAATGTGATGATAATATGCATTACAAACAGTGAATTGTAAACTGTATCTTCTTCTTTTTCTTCTTTTGTCAAAATCTGCTTGTGCCGCTAGGCGTCGCAGTCTATCAGATGATCGGCAACCGAGCCAGGGCGCGCTTAGTCGCTTCATATGCCGTGATGTTATGAAGTCTCAAGTTGTCCGTGACTCCTTCAATCCATCTTCTTCTTGGTCTTCCCCTGCCTCTTATTTGTTTCGATTTTCATGTTGTATGCTCTTGATGCTGGCATCGTTGGTTCCATTCTCATTAGGTGACCAAACCATTTCATTTTTTGCTTCTCAATAAATTTAACGATGGGTATGGTTCCAATAGTTCTTGTAATCACATCGTTTCTCACTCGATCTCTTCTGGTTTTATTCGCAGCTATTCTCAAACATCTCATTTCACAGGTGGTTAGTCTTCTCTCATGTTCTTTTGTTAATGTCCAAGTCTGACATTGATAACCTAATGTCGGTATAAAGATTGTATTTATAATTTGTCTTTTTATCTCAGCTGGGACAGCAGGGTGTTTTAAAATTGGGGCAAGCTGGTATGCGACATTGTTGGCTTGTTGGATTCTTGCTTTAATCTCTCTGTCTATTTTACCATTGGATGTAAAGATACTTCCCAGGTATTTAAATTCTTGCACTTGTTTTAGGGTGTGATCTAGAATCTTTATGTCGATGGTCTGTTGCTCTCTACTTATGCTCATGACTTCTGTCTTTTCAGTATTGATCTTCATATGATGCTTGAGGCAACTGTCGTGTAGTAGGTTCATGTGGTCTTGCAGCTGTTTACTATCACTGTGAAATATGCATTGATCGTCGGCAAAGAGCAGCTCATTGAAGTCCTCCTGTTTATCGACATCTGTTGGTGTTATGTCTATTTTATTAATATTGTCCATAAATATTATGAAAAGTAAAGGTGATAATACACAACCTTGTCTTACTCCTGATGTTACTGGGAACCAGTCTGTGATGCCAGCTCTTGTTCTAATGGCGCTTTCACTTTGTCTATAAATAGCCCTAACACAATCTAAAATTGTTCCATTTATACCGTAGTTTTCAAGAACTTTCCATAATAAATTTCTGTTTACTCTATCGAAAGCTTTTTCTTGATCTATGAAAGCGATGTTCATTTGATGTCTGTGTTCTATTGTCTTTTCGCTAACTTGTCTTAAAGCAAAAATAGCGTCAGTACACCCTCTTCCTTTCCTAAATCCGACCTGTGATGGGCTCAGGATCGGTTCTACAACGGATCTAATTCGTTGTTCCAGAATTTTGGCAAACATTTTTCCTACGTGGCTTAGAAGGGAGATGCCTCTGTAATTGTTACAATCTTGCTTATTGCCTTTTCTTTTCCAAATTGGGACTATAAGAGCTCTTTGCCAGTCTATTGGTACAGTTCTTTCATTCCAGGCTTTCCTAAATATGTGGAGTAGCCAGGTGACTCCAATTTCTCCACAAGCCTGTATTGCCTCGGCTGATATTCCATCAACACCTGATGCCTTATTTTTGGGACTGCATCTGATTGCTTCTCTGACTTCTTGTTCGATTATTATAGGCTGTTCCTCGTTTGTACATCTGGGTGTGAATGGTACTGTTTTCTCATTTCCTGTTACATTCAGAAGAGTCTGAAAATATTCTTTCCACCTTTCTCTGATCTTGCCCTCCTCATGTATGGGTTTGCCTTGACTATCATTGACATATTCAGATGGCTGGAATGGTTCATCTCTAGTCCTCATTTTTGCAATGGTTTTGTAAAACTGTCTACTAGATTTAGCACAGATTTTGGTAAGATTTTCCCCATACATGATCCAGGATGTTTCCTTGGATTGTTTAATTTCTCTTGCAGATTGTCGCCTGGCAATTCTGTACTTGATATAATCGTCATCTGAGCGGGATCTTAGCCATTTCTTGTATTGCTCCTTTTTACATTTCACTGCTTGTTTTACTTTATCATTCCACCATGCTGTTTTTTTCCTGAACGTTCCTCCTGTGTATCTAATACCACAGAGTGTTGTTAGGCAGTTCAGAAGAGTGTTCTTAAATTTTTGCCACGCAGCTTCCACAATGTCACTTGATGTTATTAGCTCAGCCATCTTCGCCGTCATTTCTGCCTGTACTTTTGCTTGGTTGTCTAGATTGCTTAAGTGTCTTATGTCAATCATTGAGGTACGTACTGATGTTTTTGGTTTTTTGTTAATTGTTGCTTCGCTTAGATATACGATCAGCGGTCGATGGTCTGTATTTAAAGAGATGTTAGGAATTACTCTTGCGTCTTTTACTAAGCTTCTTCTCTTTTGTCGATTTAGTATGTAGTCCAGCTGTGCGGCCTGGTCTGGGTGGCTCCATTTATACCAGGTGTTTATTTGGCATTGTCGATGCTGATAGAAACTATTGGTGACATAAAGGCCATGCTCTGCACAAAGTTCTAAAATACGCTGCCCGTTGTAATTGCAGACTTTGCTGTTGTCTGAGTGTGGCCCGATATATTCCTCCCACGGTGTTCGCCTCTGCCCTATATGCCCATTTAGGTCACCTATTACCATAAGATCATCATTTGCGTGTATCTGACTGATGACATCCGACACTGAGTCAAAGAAGTTATCTTTCTCTTCCAAGGTGTAACCATCATTGGTGGGTGCGTATACCTGCACAATGCTTGTATTTCTTGTTTTCCCCGTAGAGTTGCAATACTATAATCCTTTCAGATACATATTCTATATTCTTTACATGTTTAGCGATATCCGGATGGAGAATAAAACCGACTCCGTGAGTCGCTCTCTGCTCTTTCTTAACGCCGCTCCAAAATATGACATAGTTGTTATGAATTTCTTTTGTTATGTTGCCTTTTTTCCTGCAATCTGATATTCCCATTATATCGATCTTATGTTTCATCATGAACTCTACTATTTCTGGTTCTTTATTTGTAAGACCACAAACATTCCATGTTCCGATTTTTGTCGCTTGGCTAGTTTGTTTACAATGAGTGAGAGATGGCTGACCTGTTCTCGAGCCCTGATTGTTGTTACGCTTGATGGATTTTCTGTAAACTGTATCGCAGCAGGAAAACAACTGTAAAAATTCATAAATGTTTGTGCAGTGTATGGAAGTTGTGCAGTCAATAGGAGCATTATTTGTCACCAGATTCAGGGCTCTGGAATATGGAGAGAGAGTCTTGGGGCATGTTACTCATGCCGCTGAGAAGTGTCTATGTGAAGAAGAAAAATCTGACATAGGCAAAGTGTGCACATCTCTGTTTCACACTGGCCTTAGAGCACAGCAATTAACTGAGATTACATAGAACATTATGATGTGTAAAGAACATAATGATCCATGTCATCAGTTAAGTTTCATACAGTTTCACAGATAGTTTGTGAGAAAAAACACATGGGCCTTTTTTTTTTCTCTGAATGCCCATCGTTCAACGCTACATTATGAGATTGGGTGAAAATTCCCCTGTGCCAGTTTTTCTTCCAAAGATGTCACTAGCATCGCCACCAAAATCTCTTTAACTGAAGATTGATCTCAGACACTCTGTTCTAGTAAGTCAAGAAACTACCATGGCCCCAAAAAGTAATACAAAATGCAGGCAAGACTTGCATCAGATGAAGCACACAGTAATACATCTTTGTCTATGGAAGATGTAGGATTTTACTTACAGACTGAATATCTTGATAAGAAAGATTTCTTTGTAGAGAGGGGGGGGGGGGAGAAGGGAGATATACCTACTGAACAAGCAAGAAGGTGTCCATTTAGACAGCTGACATTTGATGAGTTGTGCCAAAAGGGGCATATACTGCAGCCTAGCTACAAATCATAGCACAATGTACCAACCCTTTTAAGGACAAATGCACATGAACCTGGACAACCTTAATAGGAGGAAAAAGTACTGACAGTATCGAATGAAACTGTCTCAACACAACCCCTTACCTTAACTTCATCCTTTTTAAGCAGCTTACTGTGAACCTCTCGGCATACATTGTGGCGAAAATCTTCACCAATGGGTGGTTGCATCTTCCATGCTTTCAGGTACATCTGGTGTCGCTGGAATGGTTTTGTTTTGTTCAGGTTTCTGGTGTGTGGTGGATCCTTCCTGGCCATCAGGACTGTTAAAGATATATGAGAGTTGTGGTTGATCACAGATAAACGATACTATGAAGTGCACTTCAATAACATAAAACCAATACAAGAGAAAACAGATTTCTCCTTCTCCATTACTTCACCAAAGTCTTGGGGGTGTTGTAAGGATCTTCTGAGTGTTCTTTCCAACACGTTACATAAGTTAGCCTTCATTCCCTTTAAGCCATTCTTGATGTTTCTTCTTCTTTTTTTGCGTTCACCGGCTGTAAACTCCGGCAGAAAGTTCTGGTTGTTCATCCACCCCCAGACTTTAGACTTGTTCCAAAACCTAAATGATGCATGCACATCTGGTTTATAGATCTGAGTTATCTGTATGCAGGCTACTGGTTCTTTGCCTCTCAGGCAGATGCACTCCGACTTCAAAGGAAGCTGTTGATGTTATCTGTCCACAACTGCGCGGTCTTCTCATTGCTCAGTGTCCACTGTATTTCTTTGCTGCAGTTGGTAGCAGGGCATTCTCATCAAAAGGCCAAACCATTTCATCTGCTGACCTAATGGTCGTCAGTGAATGTTGATAGCAAGATCAAATGGATGACCAGGAAAATAAGACAGACTTGAGCAACAACAACAACAACAAAGGTATGTGTCTTTGGTTTTAAAATCTAACTAGAGACAGACTTTGATTTTAAAAAAAATAGAGGGAAAATCAAAATGAAAGGAACAAATATAACAAACATGAAATTTAATCAGACGCCCAGTAACAGGGGAACAAACACATGATAAGTCATTGCCTGAAGCAAAGATGTGCATTTAGACAAGTACTCAAGATAATGAATCTTCTTCTTCACCGGCTGTAAAACTCAGGTGGAAAGTTCTGGTTATTCACCCACCTCTGGACGAGTCTTGTTCCAAAACCCGAGTGTTGCATACACATTTGTCTAACAGATCTGGCTTATATGTATGCAGACCGCTGGTTCCTTGCCTCTCAGGCGGATGCACTCCAACTTTGAAGGAAGCTCCCATTTAGTCTCATCTTATGAGTGCTTACTGGGTAGACAGTGTCTATTCTTGTCTTCTCCACAACAGCTCCCTTGAACCAGCACAGGGAAAGAGAATGAATGTAAACAGATATTTACCTGAAGGATTCCTATTGATGCCTTTAATCCTGTATGGTGGCTGGGAAGAGAAGAATGGACACAGAATGTGATGATAATTACGTACACATTCCAAATCATCATTAAGTGCCCTTTCTACTGTCCCACTGACTGGTGTAGAAAGGCAAATGTAGGAGTGTAAACTGACATAGGAATCATAGGTACCAAAAAATGATTTGATTACTTATGATTGCCTTAAGTGTCTACAGTGATATCAAGAAGATATAACAGATCATGAAGTGCCTAACATGTCATAGTTTGTGTTCTGATACCTTCTGCTGTCATGACAAAAGGCTGTCCAGATACTTTGCACTGTCTTTATCTCTTTACCCACAAATCTTTCAGGTTTTTCCATTTTTTTTTTCTTTTTCTTATAACATAGTTTTAAAAAAATGAAGACTGCCATTTTCTTATTCTTGTGATAAGGTGTCTTCCCCCTGAAGCTCCCATAATTGTTTTTTTTTCCAGCTTGTTTACTAATTGTCCAGCATTTACTGCCATAAGTTTAGGCTGTCTCTGCTTAACATAGAATAGTTGTTTTTCTAACCTCCAATAGAAGAAATGTGTTGCAAAAGTTAGCACATGTTTCTGTAAAATACCCTTTTTTCCCCTGTTCTGTTCTTTATTTCCTTGAAACATCTTCCATCAGATGTTATTTACAGATTTAAATTTATACACCTGTCTCAAAGCAAAGCCACTGACGTTCATTGTTCAATTTAGTAAGCATCCATTTTTAAAAACAAAAAAATACCACTGCTTCTAATTTCCAATTAACTTCAACTTTCTATACAACAGTACTGACATGCAAACACATAAAAGAATAATAATGTATGTTATGTAGCAGTTCACTAACAACCAACATTCTTCTTCTGTGGAACTAATCGGCCAATACATTCAACTTCTATAAATAAAGCAAACTCTAACATATCAATAATGCAACATCACTGTTTTCCTGACGCTCTGAAAGTCAGTGGTTCATTCTCAGACTGCATCAATCTGGTTCATGGGGGCAATTGTCATGGAGATCCCTGATGATGATTACTGCATCTATGATGTTTGTGCTTTATGCGATGCTCTCAGCAGGCAGTAAGCCATTCGGCAGACAGACCAATCGAGCCATATGGGTTAAACACAGAGTAATCAAGTTCGTCCTCATGCCTTTCAAACTGTGGTCTCAAATCCTTTTTTTTCAGGCCACCCCACCCCCCTCAATCCGTGAGTAAGACCCTCACGCCCCCTTTGAGTATACTGCATGACCCCCCCCCCCCCCCCGAGTATATGACAAGGTTAAAAAGACAAGGACTACATTCCGCAACACTGAAAACAGACAGTATGGAGATACGTTTTGGTCAGAATATGTTCTTAATCTATAATTAAATGCCTGTGTTATCAAAATATTTAGGTTTTTAACTGTAGATATTTAAAACTGCTTATGAAAATAAAATATGTCCTCGGCTTTTTGTTTTATAAATAGCTTTTTTAATATGTAATTATTATATTTATAATTAAACTGAAAAAAATATAACGATTATTACAAACACAAATGCACTCAAATTCAAAACTTGTTGATGCCCACCCATCAGACTGAAGACCACAGCTTCAAAATAATATATTAAAGCAAAATGAAGGTATGGGGTTAGATGCAAAAGCAAATATGGGAATATGGGCAGCATGATTTCGCTCTCTTCCCCCCACTCACATATCCCATACCAATTTTACCCCCTCCTCCATACTTGATCACTCACACACACAGACAAATTAGTAACCACTGAAATAAGATTTCTGAGAGAGGTTGTACTGGTGACCAGAAAAGATTAAATAAAATTATGAGAGGAAAAAAAGCTAGCATACAATCAATACCAAACTACATATAAAGACAGCAATACACTGGTTTTTGCACTTAAAAACAATGCTTTGTGACACCACAGTATACAACGCATGTACCAAGAGAGGCTATGGATGTAGAACAAGAGGTAGACAAGATGACAACATCCGACAAACTCTACAACAGTAAAAAGTGTCTATGGTCAAGGTTGCCAGAAAAACAAAAGCTAGAAACTTATATCTCCCTCAGGCAGACGTGATCAAGGCTCTTTGGGAACAAGCAACAGAATCAGTAGAGAAAGAAGATTATTATGGCCTGGAGAGAATGAGGCACGTGGGTATAACCAGAGAGTCTGGTCGGCTGACTACACTCAGAGGAAAGGCAAGACGGACATTTAACCAGATTGTGACCAGTACCATCAGTGTTGGAGCTCTGCGCTGCCTGCTGAAGATGAGGATAGAGCACGCATGGGAATGCCCCGAGTGCTGTGATGTCAGTTCTTGACTCAACTCAACCCATCTCCCTTGACACCCAAAGTGGTAAAACAGAAAGTAAAGAAGAAAACAAGGCTGGATCAGCCCAGAGGTACACTGGTCTGAAGAAACCTGAGACCATTATGCTAACCCACTTCACTAACAACCATCCCAACCCACTTCACTAATCACTATGCCAACTCACTTCACTAACCACATTGCCAACCCACTTCACTAACCACTATGTTAACCAACTTCACTAACTACTTTCCCAACCCACTTTACTAACCATCATGCCAACACACTTCACTAACCACTTTGCCAAACCACCTCACCAACCACATCAACCCACTTCACTAACCACAACACCAACCCGTTCCACTAACCACTATGCCAACCCGTTCCACTAACCACTATGCCAACCCACTTCACTAACCACTATGCCAACCCACTTCACTACCCCCTATGCCAACCCACTTCACTTCCCCTATGCCAACCCACTTCACTACACCCTATGCCAACTCACTTCACTAACCACTATGCAAAGCCATTCCACTAACCACTATGCCAATCCATTCTACTAACCACTATGCAAAGCCATTCCACTAACCACTATGCCAATCCATTCTACTAACCACTATGCAAAGCCATTCCACTAACCACTATGCCAATCCATTCTACTAACCACTATGCCAACCCACTTCACTAACCACTACGTTATGATGGCCACAGTGCCTCAGAAGACATTTTGTTCCTTTCAAACAATGACTGCCATGACCTACCTCAGTGTCAGCAGATGTTGGTCGGGTCTTTCCACATTCGCAGTCCCTCATTGCTAGCCTCTTAACTTTCTCATAGACATCATACAGACCCGCTGGTGAATAGAATATACAACCAGAACAGTAGGACAAGATTTAGATAAATAGATAATACTATTAAAAAAAAGGCATAAGGACAAGAGTTGGATAAATAGAAAATACAATTGTTTGGTAGGAGATTCTGGGATTCCCAAAAATTTTATAACAGGGATTTCCTTTGTGCATTCTGGGTTCCCACTAGTTCCCATTTTAGTGTATGTGTGAAAAAGGGGGGGGGGGGGGTTGAAGGACTCTTACTTACTTAAATGCCATATGGCATTGCATTGGTAGTCATGTCTCTCCACAACCTTCTGTCTCGTGTACTTTCAATCAACTCTGATACAGATGATCTTGCATGCCATGATGTCAAACTGTCCAGCATCTGTTCTTTCAGTCTCCCTCTGCCTCCCCTCCAACTTTCCTACTGTCAGGATGAACTCCAGTTTACTCCATCTCATGTGAGCAATCAGCTCTCTTTGTGAGTCAGTTTCTTTCAAGACGTCTTCATGACTCTTTTGATCTGTCCAGGGTATTCTCATTAGTCGTCTATAAAACCACAACTCCGCAGCTTCCAAATAAGTTTTCACTAATTCACTAACTGCCCAGGCTCACTGCCTCCTAAAAAGCAGGTTGTAAAAGGTGACTTAAGGGTTTGCTGAAAACGGATTTGTTGGGTCAAAGTACACCAATATCCCAGTGAGGGCCACGATAACACAGTAGATAGGAGACTTACTTGTGCTAGATAGGTTTCAGTCTCCTGGATTTTTATATTAACTGACAAAGACCACCACTTGCTTCGGTTTTTTTTTTATCTTCCCTATTTTATGGTTGTTTTAGAGAATTATAATGATGCATACTGTTTTAACAAAATACTGAAAAAGGTAAGTTGATTAAAGATTTACACTAGGGAAAAGGGGCAATTTAGCATAATGTACAGTGACTGCTTTGAACATAAATTTCTAGAGACATGACACCCCCCCCCCCCATGATTAGTCATCACCAATGATGTTGCAGTCAGAGACATACACTGTGATAAACATGAAAAAGAAGATAAACTGACTTTTGAATTGGCATGGATAAATATGCATCAGATATATATATACACACACACACACATACATACATACATACATATATACAAACATACATACATACACATATATATATATCATCATATACACATACATACATACATAATCACAGAGTAAATAAAACACGCCTGATGCAAAAATTTTGACAGCCACAGAGTAAAACATGCCTGAAGCAAACTATGACAGCCACAGAGTAAAACATGCCTGAAGCAAACTATGACAGCCACAAAGTAAAACATGCATAAAGCAAACTCTGACACAGTAAAACATTCATTAAGCAAACTGTGAGCCATAGAGTAAAACATACCTGAAGCAAACTGTGACAGCCACAGAGTAAAACACGCATGAAGCAAGCTGTGACAGTCACAGAGTAAAACATGCATAAAGCAAACTGTGACAGTCACACAGTAAAACATGCATAAAGCAAACTGTGAGAGCCACACAGTAAAACATGCCTGAAGCAAACTGTGACAGTCACACAGTAAAACATGCATGAAACAAACTGTGAGCCATAGAGTAAAACATGCATGAAGAAAATTGTGAGCCATAGAGTAAAACATACCTAAAGAAAACCATGACAGCCACAGAGTAAAATATTCATAAAGCAAACTGTGACACAGTAAAACATGCATGAAGCAAACTGTGACAGAGTAAAACATGCATGAGATCATTTTTAAAAAACAAGTATAAAGTAGGATATGGATACATACAATGGTCAATGGAGTCGGATGTGCTGAACGATTCATCTACCACTCTCTGGCCATTGGTACCTTTTCTGTTAAAACAACACAATGCAAATATATGAATCTAAAAAATAAATAATAAACCCATTTGTAAGTTTGTTCACTAACCACTAACTAAAATCAAACGAACTGAAACATATAAGTACTTGGGTGCAAACTTCAACTGCTCCAACATGCTGAGAGAAGAAACACAATCTAGAATACAATCTGAAATAAAGTATACTATGCCCTTCAACATCTGCTAAAGTCAAAGTGTCTGTCTCGTAACACCAAGATCGAAATATATAAAACGTTGATAAGACCAGTCGTTTATATGGCTCTGAAACTTGGAGCACAACCAAAAGAGATGAAGCCTTATTACAGTTTTCGAAAACAAAGTGTCTTACGGCGAATCTTTGGACCCATCAAAGATGTAAACAGCGGGGAATATAGAGTGAGAAGTAAAAACTAAATTCCTAATCTGTTTAAATCACCATTGATCACTGGCATCATGAGAGCTAATAGACAGAAATGGTTGGGGCATACTGAAAGAATGTCAGATGACAGAGAAGTAAAAACTGTATACAACAGGGAGATGAAAGGTCGTAGACCACGAGGTAGACCAAGAAGACGATGGAGGGATAACATCCAGACAGACCTGCAAACACTTGGTGTTACCAACTGGAAAGAGAAGACTAACCAGAGAGATGAATGGAGACCGGTGATATCTGCAGCAATGAACCTCAAGGGCTCGGAATGCTGAAGAAGAAGAAGAAGATGTGTATGTTTGTTGTTGTTGTATCAATTATATATATATATATATATATATATATATATATATATATATATATATATATATTATATATATATATATATTATATATATGACTCTCTCCACAACTCAAATGAATGCAAATTAGCCATTGGCCACTGTGGGTACAGATAATAGGCATGCCACACAAAATACTCAGCTCAGCTTTGCAGCAAGCAGTTAACCCAGCAGCTTACTTAAGCAACACAGACTTCAGTCCATATGTCTAAACTGCATTAGCAAACCATGAACAGAAGCCCACACAAAAACAGGCTTTAATGGGCTGGTTGCCTATTCCACACTGGACCGTAAGAAAAAAATGGTATAACTATGTTAAAACAAAATGGCAAAGGACTTATGTGCCACATAAACAGAGGAAGTGAGAGATCTGGGGGAAGAAAGAGGGTAATAGATGAGCAAAAACTTTTTTAGTGGCTAAAAGCTCACCTGCTGGCCTAAAGGTCCTGGGTCTGAATCTGCACCATGCAGATTTGAAAATACAACAAGCTTGGCTATAAGGTAATATAGGTATCAGAAAGTATTCCTGGAAAGTAAAGGTGGCAGGCATGATGTGGGCCATATCTTCTACTCAGTGTCGACGGGTCTATCAAAGATTATGCCTTTTACCATGCCATATATTATTTACTTTACAATAAAAGACTTTTTGTCTCAAACAGATTATTACACTCAGCATATTGTACTTTTTAAAAATTCGTTCCCTTCTTGGAAATATGGTGGCATAGCAGTTAGTGAGACTGCCTGCACAAACAATGGTAGGGGTATACTTTTCCATCACTTTTTGCCTGATTTGCCTAACCTTCTTAGAAGGTAGTCACTCTACAGAGAGCAACCCAGCCATTTGGGATTAAAACACTGTGCAATGAAGTAAATCCTCCAACCTTTAAATCTTTTTCTTTTGTCTTACTGCTTATAAATCATCGCAGACAGGAGTCAGATCATTTTGACTTTTCCTTCTTCTTCTCTTGAGCATACGTGTTTGAATGTTTGAAAAAAATAAATCCTCTAACCGCTTGCAAGGCTTGTCCTAGAATCATTTCTAACAGCACAATTTATCGAACAGTGTTTATACAGTAGAATATAAAACTTGATCAGTAGGTCAAAAGAGGTCTGTGGTGGTGTTTAAACCATCAAAAACATTTACATTTAATAACCCAAATTATTCCTAAGAAGGACATTCTGACCTGACCTCATTGCAGTGATTCATGGGATTTGTACAATGATGGTCCAACCTCCAGCAAAAAAATATATGCTTCAGTGTGTGCATTTTTACAGATGATCTCTGTTCATAAAGCAATATTTTTCACACACACAACAACAACAACATAGAAGATACTATTCAAGAGACAGATAAAAAAAAATCAGCAAGTTACCTCACTGAAAGACTTATATCCAGAATACCAATTTAAAAAAAAAAAAATTAGAGTCAATAACTCATTTGTATGTTTTCTCTCTATAAAATCTGTCTTTTCATCCTATTAGGTGTTTTTCTCTCTATACAAATCTGTCTTATCACCCTATGGGGTGTTTTTCTTCGTACACAAATCTGTCTTATCACCCCAATAGATGTTTTCTCTCTATAAAAATCTGTGACATCACCCCACTCTGTGTTCTCAATATAAATCTGTCTTATCATTACATGAGTGTTTATCTTTCTTTACAAATCTGCCTTATCACTCAATGGGTGTGTTTCTCTCAATATAAATCTGTCTCATTACTCAACAGTGTATTCTTCTCTTTATACAAATTTTCTGACAGAAGGATCGAAGAAGAAGAAGACTCAACTATTTTTCTTACAATACAAGCCTGTCATATAAATTAACTAGGTGTTTTTTTTCCTCTATACAAATCTGTCTTATTACCCAGTGGGTGATTTCTGTCTTTACAAAAAAAATCCTGCTGCACAGCTGCATATTCCCATTCTACACACACACAATTTTGAATTAAGAATCAACATCATAGCACGTGGGACACTCACATAAGCGCTCCGTTCCCATCTTCAGCAGCAAGCGAAGAGTTCTAATTCCAATGGCACCAGTAACTGACTGAATATCTGTCTCGGTTTTTTTCCCCTAGAGTGTCGAGCGTCTGCCAGATATCCTGGTAACTCCTCGCACCACCATTCTCCCCAGACCGCAATGATCTATCTGTGCATCCACAATGTTCAATCGTTCCCAAAGGGCCCTCATAACATCCAGTTTGTCATACATAAATTCACCACCAAGTGGTGCAGAGCCAACAAGTCTATCTGCCTGCTTATTTCCCAACAGACCAGCATGACCTGGGGAAAATATCCAAAGGATGCTAACTACCCGGGATCTCTGAACTGATGCTTGCCACGGAGCATGCCTCTCTCCACCTTTCTCAACATGCTCTGTGAGTCAGTAACAATCATGGCATGTGTGTACAGCCTATTCCCGAACCAGTGGAAGGCAGCAGTGACTGCCTCTACCTCCATTCTCAAACTGGACGTTGTGATTACCAGTCTATTCAGCTGTGGCCTATTACCCGAATTGTTTCTCCTATAAAACAGTTTTATCTCTCAAACAGATGTCTTCCTAGACAAATAATGTCTTACCACTTACCTGGATATTTTCCGCTTCACGAACTTTGTGCCCCCATCAGTTTCTGAGTCTGAGCAGATGTCACTGCACTGGCTGTGTCTATCAAATCTGCAATCTTTCTCATCTGCTACAACAGAAACATTTGATCTGGATACTGCATGGTGGCTGCCAGACTCTTTCTTGGTTTGTAAAGACTCTTCTCCCTGATAATGCCAGTCTTCTTTATACTGCTGAGGAAGGATATAGGGGAATCTTGAACTTTTCATCATCACTTTTTCCCCCCAGTGTGATGGTAATCCCATTACCTGCCGGGTGCTGACTGATGTATAAAATACGAGTCTAGTATCATATCTCTACAGTGGCACTAGCATAAAATGGATCCTTTAATCTGACTCACTTAATGTAGCTTGGCCACATTATGAGAATGAATCCTGATATACCTGCCAAAAACAGCTCTCACATGGACACCAGAGGGAAAGAGAACCCCCCCCCCCCCCCCCCCCCAAAACATGGAGATGAATGATAGAAAGTGACCTGAGTGCAGCATCTTTGACATGGAAAACTGCACTGAAGATTGCACAAGACAGGAAAGCATGGAAAGTCCTCTCTGAAGCTGCATGTGCCACTAGGCATAAAGAGAACTGACATGACATGAAATGACTTAATGTAGCAGAATGTGCAACACATGCTCTGAACATAAATTTCTGGAGACACTACCTCCAACCCGGCAGCTGATATGGGAAAATAATTAGTCATCACTAATAATATTAGAGAGAAACAAATGGTGATGGTTAGATCTAAACTTTGTCAACACATGCCACTAGAGAAGCTCTTGATGTTATCTGAAGAAAGACACTTCAGGGTAGGTAACATATCATGTAGGAGCTTTTTCCCTCATGTGGGTTCTGGGGCCCCATCGTGGGGGGAAAAGAACAGACCCATTGTTCTCTAACAAGCAAGTCAGAAAGGTAAACTCAATAGTGCTCCTTTCAAAACTGGAGTGCCTGAGAGCTGAGGAACCAAATGTCTGCATACATTTAAACCAAATCTGTAAAATGAATGTGCATGCAAAACTTAGGTTCTGGAAGAAGACCAGAAGTGTAGGAATACCAGATCTTTCTGCCAGAGATTGCAGCCGGTGAACACATTATTTCACTGTACAAATTGAATAAATCGAGTGACAGCACACTTCACTGTCTCTTGCCTTGTTTTATGTTTTGGAAAGTTGGCTGTCAATTTTAATAGCTGTTTTTTGTTGCCAGTATTTTACAGGATAAAGAATATCCTAAGCCAATTTTTCCTAACTGGTAGAAAAAAAATTAAGTGGTCCATGAGATCAATTATAAGAAAACCTCAACTCTAGAATACAAGCATCCCTGTAATTCTGATATTTATAAATGCTTATAAAAGTTATTCAGTATGACAATTAGAAATGTTGGGATCCTTGATGAGACTTCTAAAAATAAGAAAAGTCAGCAGCTAACTGGGGACTACTCTGCTATTCAATATATCTTCAGCAATTAATGCGAGAATACAATTTGAATATAAAGTATACTATGCCCTTCAGCATTTGCTAAAATCAAAGTTTCTATCTCACAAAACCAAAATATATAAAAGATTGAAAAGACCAGTCGTTTTATATGGCTCTGAAACTTGGAGCACAGTTAGAAGAGATGAAAGCTCATTATAGGTTTTCGAAACAGTGCATTACAAATGACAAATCTTTTGACCTATCAAAGACGTTAACAGCGGGGAATGGAGAGTGAGAAGCAACAATGAAAGTCATAATCTGTTTTTAAATCACCATTGATCATTGGCATTATGAGAGCTAACAGGTTGAAAGGCTGGGGCATATTCAGAGAATGTAATATAACAGAGAGGTAAAAACTGTATACACAAGGGAGATGAATGGTCATAGACCACGAGGCAGACCAAGAAGACAATGGAGAGATAATGTCCAGAAAGACCTGCAAACACTCAGTGTTACCAACTGGAAAGAGAAGGCCAACCAGAGAGATTAGTGGAGATGGATGATATCTGCAGCAATGAACCTCAAGGGCTCAGAATGTTGAAGTAGAAGAAGAAGAAAAACATAGTTCTTAAGAGCTAATTAAGCTACACCTGGTTTTTGCATAAAAGAAGCAGAACTGAACTTAAGTGACCTGAGTGTCTGCAAGTAATTCAACATTTCTGGCAGATAACAGTAAATATACTTACATTTCTCAGCCACTGATTTCCATGGTTGCTAAAATTTCCAGCAACAAATTCTGAGCCTGAAAGAAGAGACATCACTGTGTATTATCCATTTAAACAAGGTCAAAACAGCTTTTAGATGGAAATATATATCGAAAAAAATGCAAATACTGCTGTAGTAAACAGAATATTTTATATGAGTCCATGTCAATAAATAAGCTATTTTAAGTCTTTAAAATGAGTCTTATTCTTACTTGTGAACATTTGATCTAATAAAAGGTATTTAATAGCAAGAGGACTGGCTTTCATCACATTGTGTTTTTCTCTTTGTGCTGGACAACCCCAGCCTCTCTCTCCCAGTACCTTGCCCTCCATCCTTGTTATTTCCAAAGTACTTCAGTTTCTGAGTCATGATGCTGCTTATAAACCAGTTTATTTTCCTTTGAAGTCCACATACATATAAGGCTACAAATGTTTCATAAAACTAACCAGGAAGACTACATGGATTTTAAAAAAATGCAGAATGAAGTCAGATGTATCAGCTGAAAAGTGCAAATATCACAGCTATGCTGTAAACAGGCAAAAAACATTTACACCACTCAGACGAAGATCAAGAAGAAGAAAATGGTTTTTCCAATTAACCAAGACCTGCTGAATTAAATTATTTTCAAAGGTCTGTCACAGACCCCATAATTTTAAGCTGTCAAACGGAGTAATCAAAATATCAGAATCGTTAAAAAAAAGGATTGCATTCTAGAGTTAAGGTTTCTTATTTTAACTGAATCATGGATCACTTAAATTTGCTCCACCAAATCGAATGGCTTAAAACAGTGGCATGGGGGAATATCATCAGTGGAACTGATACAGAGCCCTAAAGACCAAGAACTGTGGAGATGCATGAATGGCTAGGCCAGCTGGCAAAGCATTTGATGATGATGATCATGAAATGGGGGAAAAACTGGCATAGAACACTTTTAATCCTGTAAAATTCTTTACTTGCTTGTATGGAGTATCTCCTTATACATATTACAATGGTCTTAACTTTCCATAACACCTGTGATCGAAATCTCTGTACCAACGGAACTACAGTTCTATGCAGTATATCTTTGTCAACTGGTGTGAAAGAAGTCAAATTCGGTCACCGATCAGTTAGCCTCCCTGCTTAGACACCTAAATGTCTCCAATCCATAAAAAGAGCAAATGGTTAAAAGCATCTTCATCCCTACTTTATGCTATCAGTGCCAAACAAGCACAATGTACTAGAACAAATAATAACTACCTGTGAAATGCACTGTCTCCGTAAGGTCACTAACCAGCATTAGAGAGAAAGTTGGTAACAGATGGTGTCCGAATTATACTGACAGACAAAGAATGAAATGGAACGACCATCTAGTGAGAATGCAGTCAACCCAATCAGCATTTATTTACAGCAGAAAATCTGTGAGAAAGTCAAGGGGAAGACCAAGAAAGAAATGGATAAATAGTGTAGCTGAAACCTGCAAAAGGATGAGCAAATCCATCAACCAAGCCACCTTAGAAGTGCAAGACAATCAGGTATCAGCGAGACAAAAAAATAAGACAGAGGAAAAACTGATGTAAGAAAGAGTTCTTAAGGGCTTTTACATAGAAGGCTTCTTTCAGGATCTCAGTCTTTTTTTTTTCCATGGTCTACAACTGACACTACAGAAAAATCTACGCTGGAGGTAAGTAAATAATTAAATCTGATATACTGTGTATTTTTCATCTGTTAATCAATTCAGAGTTACTTACCCTCTCTGGGAGCATCAGGTGAATAAGTGTTGGCTGCTGACTTTGGCCTCTCGATGCTACTGTCCAGGGAGTTGTTTTTGCTTTTTTCAGAGTGAATCAGCCTCATAAGATCTGTGAACAGGTATGTGAACTTCGATCAGTGAAAATAAAACACAAGCAAATACAATTCTACTATGAGATTTTGTGACAAATTGTTGTGAATCACACTAATTTGTAGGGGCCACGTCCGTAAATGCACAGCAGACTGGAAGTCCTGATGATAAAGTTTATATTTGTTGGTGCATCTGAGTGGAATTTTAATACCAAATACAAGGGCTTAGAATAATTTCACTAGTTCTGGTCTGTGAAATGACCGTTAACTTGTGTTTCCAAACTGCATTCATTTGAGCACTGTTCATCACATTTTATTAGTTCTGGTCTGTGAAATGACCGATAACTTGTGTTTCCAAACTGCGTTCATTTTAGCACTGTTCAACACAATCTGGCAGTAAGCAAGTTTGTCTAACTCCTAATTTAGTAATTTATTACGATTTTTTCTTCAAATATGTGTACATTTTTTTACTTATGGAGTTTTACTGATATGACCTGAACATTCAAAACAGTAGCAGCACATTTTACAACCAAGAAAAAGTATTGAAATAAATAAAACAGTTGAATGTTTGAACTTATTAGAATCATATGAAACTGACACACAATGAAAGAATCATACATCCAGTTAAAATGAATCTCTAGCTCCTAGTCCACTTTCATATCCTGAAAACCCCCCGTGTGGGTACCAGGGCCCCATTGTGGGGAAAACAAGAATAGACCCACTGCCTCCCCAAAAGCATGTCGTAAGAGTCGACTAATTGGGGAGCTTCCTTTGAAGTCGGAGTGCATCTGCCGGAGAGGCAAGGAACCAACAGTCTGTATTCAAGAGAATGAGATCTGTAAAACTGATGCACATGCAACACTCAGGTTCTGGAGCAGGACTGCAGTTCAGTAGTGGACGAGCAACCAGAACTTTCCGCCAGAGTGTACAGCTGGTGAACGCGAAGAAGAAGATATCCTGCAAACTTACTAGTGTTGCTCACCTTTTTTGAATTCCACTAGTTTATCTTCTGGAACATCCTTGTAGCCCAGACGTGCCAGTTCTTCTCGTATCTCGCCGTCAGTGAAGTCTATGTCCATTCTCAAAGAAAGCTATCAAAGCTAACAAACGTGGAAAGTTTTAAAAATAGTGCCAGTACTGACTGTAAACTGTATATTTAGTAACACTGAAAAAAGTATGCCTAAAACAGATCCACTAAAACAAAGTCATAAAACCAGTGTCTTTCCTCAACTTTCAAAATTTCACATTAGTTAAGTAATTATGATTTAATTATCTGTTACTATTATAATTTAATATTATAATGTGCAGGTACTGCGGCTGTGATCACTGTGTATTTAGCGTCTCACTTATGGCTCTTCAGATATTTATTTACTCTCACAGGCATCTTCTACTATGACACCAAATGAGTCTGAAGAAAATTATTAGCTTCTAAACTCTAATTAACTAATAGATAAATTGTTCAAATAAAAAGTTTCACACAGCATAATCCATATTCATATTATATTATTAAACATTAATTTGTCAGTGCAACTCAACGCAACAAGCAAACAAGTTTAACAAATAAGCATGTTAGCATTTTAATTTTCTCCTAATTGCCATTTCACTTATATCAACTTTTACTGTACACAAAAATTGGTAAATAAATAAAAATAAAATAAATTGCAATAATTAGTTCAAAATTAGTTCTTAAATAGAAACTAACTCAAACTTGCTACGCTACTTAAAATTAAACAGAAACTTTAATTAATTTAGCGGTCTAAATTTGTGAAGTTAATATCCCTATCAGCCTTATAGTTATATTATATGTTGGCTTTATAAAAAAAAATAAAAAAAAACTACAATTAGTAAAGTAACGACAATTTTAACAAAGAATCAAATCAAACCAATTCGGTTCCCAATAATAAGATTATTAAAATCCTGTTCAAACTTGCCCTTCCCCCCAGTGTCCACTGTCCCCACTCAGCAAGTAGGATAGAAAGCAATTACAATCGAGAGAAAATACTGTTAGACATAATTAGGTAATTAACTGCTTATTTCAAGAACAAACTTATCCTACCTGAGATAATACAGATTAACAATTTGATTATTTAAACAAATTTTGGAAAATTATGATATCTGCGTTTATTTTGAAATGCTAGTAACACGATGCCAACCATTTTGTAAACAAAACGTATCTGTGAATGGGATTGGCTGGATTTGTCCAATCATAAACAAGGGATGTATTACAATTTCTTATTTAGTTTCGTATTTACATGAATAAATGTATCAGTATTACTAGAATTATTATTATTTTTATTATCGGATATTCTTTTGTTCTGGCGGAAAGCCGTACCAGCACCTTTTCTTAGAAATTATTTTTTTGAAAACTGCTGTGATAGACACTAGCTATTCGATCATGGCAGTTTTACAGAAGAATTCTTAGAATTCCTTGGACAGCCAAAAAGAGCAACCAAGAGGTTTTGAAAGAGGCGGGAGCCCGAAGACAACTTATCACAGACATCAGAAGGAAACAGTCATCATTTTTCGGCCATGTTATGAGAAGATGGAAAATAGAACATGTTGTGACCACTGGAAAGATATGTGGAAGGAGGGATAGATGAAGACAACAAGAGAAGTCTTGTTGTATGGCATGGAGGTGTGTCGGCACACTAACTGATACATGCTGCAGGAGATCGCAGATTATGGAGAGGCATGATCGCCCACACCAGTCGGCAAGGCACCTGATGATGATGATGATATTCGATCCTAAATTCGCAGGTTTATGACCCCTCCCCTCCAACCACCCCAATCTACATAGCCCTAAAAGGTGGTAAGAGAAACAGTAGTAACGACATCTTGTCTTGTTGTGATTACAAACAAGCACCTTTTTGAACATCTTTAAGTGAGAATAGGACCCTTTATACATCCACGCGTTCTGGACATGTAGACCTATATTTTATTGATCACTCTACACTCAGCGGGTGATGTTGTCAACAACACGCCGGCTCCTTTACTTCCCATGACTTTAGTACACATTTGAGGATGGATAGACTTAGAAGCTTTTTTGTTTATGGAGACAAGTCTGGGTTCGTTCGGAATTGAATCCACTGTCTTCGGATCCGCATGTGAGCGGCTAGCTGCTACACCAGGGAGGCTGTTGTAGTCTAGCAGAAAAACCTGAATTTATAATGTCCCTTTCTTCTTCTGCCCTCTATTCGCAGATAGAGCAAAGACACGCAACTAAATCATTTCAAGTCGTATCATAAGCAAGTTAACCAGTATTTATTGGGACTTGGAGAAAAAGGCAGGAAGTGGAGAAAGGAGAATACACTAGACAGCATCAAAAGTGTTGCTATTATACTCGGTGGGGCTGCGTGGTCTCGGGGCAAGGTGTCCGCCTCGAGTGCTAGAGGTTCAATCACCAGGAAGACTAAGATTTTTTCAAGTGGACTTCTAGTAATTCCGCCTGGTCTCTGGGTAGTGAGATCGGACGCCCGTTTGCATGGCGCTCACGTAAAAAAAAAAAAATCCTTTGGCAGCTGGAAATCGAAAAGAGTAGCCTAACGGCGCCGCCCGGGCAAAATTTGAAGTTAAAAATCTGTTTAAAGTGTTTCAGGATCCTCGCCTGTGCTTCTGAGCCTTTGCACTCAGACTTGAGTTAGAAGAGAACAGATCTTGTGTGCAATGATGTTGATCCGTTGTTCAAACTTTAAACCATGAATCTTTCGCCTGCAGATTTGGATGGTAGCTCGCCGTGGGAACGAGTTTACTTCAACTCATGACAAACTCGATTTACTTACAGTGATGACGACTGACAACTGAGTGAAATAAACACGAATAATGATTAGTAATGAGTGTCATCACAACGCCCCGGACAGATCCATAGGTGTTCAAATCTTCTCACCGAAAGTCCTACTGTCATAAAACGACTGAGGAGACCTGCTCTCTTTTGGTTAATCAAATGTCACCTAAATTTGGTGAAATGTTAATTTCTTGCTGTTCCAGGTTGTGTCCCTATGTCCGCCAGCATGGACAGGGAAACGGAGTCACCCCTTTGGCGTCCTCGTCTCCGTTGTAAGTGCTCCGCTTGACATTGACAACAGTAATGGACTAGTCATAGCAACCACAGTGTTTGCGTTGACTCGAACACCTGCATAAAGATGAAGGTTACGTCAGTCACTCGAGTAATGCTTAGTGATCCGATCCATTCTTGTCTGACGAAACTATCCTGGACGTTCTTAAGCATATCCATTAAGTCACTAAATAGGCACCAGGGTATGAGCTCTTGTGTATCCATCCATGCTAATGCCCTTGTTACAGCCATAGTTTGCATTGTGAGAAAGCAAGTTTTCCATTGCAAAGCACCGTTTATCTCCTTCATGATTTTCCTCGTCACCTGACTCTGAACACCTCCGCACTTTGCTTGCACCGAATTACCGATCCATCCTACGGCATCAAGTTCAGATGTGATTGCATCCATCAGCATTCTGAATAATGTGTCTACTATGTCAGGACTCTGCTCTCTGCAGCTTTTAACCAGTGTAATATGGACTGTAATGTTCATGTTTGGAGCAGCAGGCTTGGGTATAAATCTAGTTCAAAGATCAAATCAGTATGACCCATCCAAGATTTACCTCTTGTAAGTATTCTTTTTGAGTCTGAATTATTCCGTATAAAGTGCGTATCGGTGGTGGTGGGAGGGGGGGGGGGGGAGAGGGAGGGAGGACTTAACTTCACATTAACGAAAGCGGCGGCCCAGGGTGGCTTGATCCTGTTATCTCATTACCATCATCATGTGCCCTGTCAACTGGCGTAGGTGCTCATGCGTCTCCACAGATCACGATCGCTAGTTGCCTGGAACAGCTTTCTTGATGAAACCCCTCCATGCCATCGTTTTAGCACATCCAGCATCATCTCTCTACCCCTTTTACCCGCCGATCTTTCCAGTAGTCACGATGTTCTCCAATGTCTCTCTTCTCATAATGTAGCCAAAGAACAATGTTTGTCTCTTTCTTCTTGTTTTATATAGAGATCTACTTTTATTAGCTTCTTTCATGCAATCGTTGTTAGTTACTCTGGCCGTCCAAGGTATTCGTAACATTCGTCTAAGAAACCCCATCTCTGTTGCTTCCAAATTCTTCCCATTTCCTGTTATCTATAGTAGGTAAAGTCAAGAGTTATGGCATGAATTTACAGCAGGTTCCCCTAGTGTATAATATTTGTTGAATCGTTTCTAATTTTTAGTTTCTTTTTTTTTTCTTTACAATCTGCTATTGGTCAGTTACTGATTGTTATAATGGTCAGGGAATATTCAGTGACTGGGAAACTAACCTCTGATATAACACGACAAGTAGCCGTTGCCTGTAGCTTGCTGGCGCCATAACCTTTGTTGCTTAATTGTAAATCTTTTTTAGCATTGCTTATAATTTGGTCTACATGTTTTTTATATATTAGGCATCTATCAAAAACTATAGCCAGGTACTTCGTTGAGTCAGATCTCTTCACGTTATTGCCACATAGAGTACACTTACACGCGATTGTTTTGTTCAATGATTATTTGCTGTGTTGTTCGTCCATCACAGGTGATGGTGGCCAGTCCGTTTATCCATTGGTGACTGGATTGGTTTTTGTGAGTGCGCAGATGGTTGAAAAGGCCAGTTCCAACACTGAGAGTTCTTGAGCAGGGTGGACAGGGAATTGAAGCCGCATCTCTCTGGTGATTTGCTCCAGTCTTGTCTTTTTTGCAGGTCTAGCAGCTTCACGGGCCACAGCTCATCAATGAGTAGTCACATGCAGCGACTTCCCGGGTTTTTGGATCCATACAGAAGTCTTTAAATTATGTCTTGAGGTTGCCACAGAAACATTTCTTCTGTCCACCTTGTCAAGGACTTCAGTCTCAAGGATCTTATCTTGCCATTTTATGTTCAGCAATTTTGTGAGACATACTGTGTGGAAATGGTTCAGCTTCCTAGCATGGCGCTGGTAAACGGTCCATGTTGCACATGCATAGAGAAGTACAGGAAGTGCGACAGCTTTGTACAATTCGTCTGCAGACTGATGCCAGCTCTATTCCAGACTTTTGTACGTATGTGTTTACTAT